GTAGCCACGTACCACCCACTCTTAAACTTTGATTCGTTTTATCTAAGTATTGTTTTCTAATATTTTTTCATTACATAACCGACGGACTAATTAGATCTTTAATCTTATTACCCTGTCATCATCACAATTATATTTATGTATCTATAAATCTACTTGACTCTACTAAAAGTTTATGTGTAGGCAGATTTTTCCCTTTTTTTCGCACGTAACTGTTATTCAATCCAAAGGCATCCTGAGCTAAAGTTCGCGTGTAATATTATACTATATTCTATTAATATACACCTTATCGTTTCCAAGTAAAAAGCTTCGAGTAATGAGACGTAAGAGAGGATCATTAACCTATGCTGTCATAACAGTAAGAATGATTGTGATAAATAAGAATTGAAAATCAACAATCATGCGATATGATTAGTTGGATACTTAGGTAATATTAAGTAGGTCTGTGCAGGCTGCCTGACTAACTAACGTCATTGATTTCTACACAAACACAAAGTCTTTAAAAGGAGGAGATTCTTTTTTGTAAGGGATAAATATTGGCAAAAAGGCAGACCAGACCATCACCTGATAATAAACACCCCCCCCCCCCCCTTAGAGGTCCGTAATAGCAGATAATTGAATAGTTTCTTGAGTCAAAAATAAATTATTTTGATTTTTCAGTCCAATTAAATATTGAAAAATAGTTACACTTTCATTCATTGATTTGCCAATACCTATACTTAATTTTCGATTTATTTTAACAGTTTTTCATATATAAGTATTATAAATATATATTATCGCTTATTTGACGCGAAAATATGATGACGTCATAGTATGGTATTTCCTCGGAACAATAACTAAAGTATTTCGTACAAAATTCATAGAACAATATCCGTTTTTGACGTTTCGATAAAAGTATTGAATTTTACTATGTGTTGACTTCATTATTATAGTTAATACTTACTTATAATTTACTTACAAATTTTTTCGCAAATACCTTTGGAAATAGATCCAAACTTCAAATTCGGATATCAAGCAATGTACCGAGAACTACCTAATATCTTCTGAGAATCAAGTAATCGAAAATCTTTATCTACACCGTACCTCACAGTCACACTAACGATCACTAAACCAATGGGGACTACTGGCTAACTATTTAAGAATTCCCCGAAGTTAACACAGCTTAGATTTATAGTCAGTGTTCTAGAAAAAATAGGAGTGGTGATAGGTTTACGATGGATAGCTATCGGGGGTAGTAAACTCATTCCTGCAGGCTTTTTCTTAATTTTTTTTTATGTTTGATGGGCCGAAGTTTGACTACTATTTAGACATTTTGTTGTTATTAGTGAAACAACAATCATATCAAAAACGTGGAACAAAATAGCTCTTCTCAGAGCTGTCTGTATTAACAGAGGTGGTCAAAAACGTTGAATAAAATAGCTCTTTTCAGAGCTGTCTGCTTCTTGGTTTCTGTTAACCGATGGTCTAAATCCCTGTAGCTTGTGCTATGGCTAGTGTGGCTACAACTATCTCGCATTTTATTTTGTTTTATTCATTTTTAAGTCTTCTGTAAAGAACATGTTTAGACTAAACAGACTAGACGTCATGTTCAGCAGTGGACGTCATGTGGCTGGCTGATATCATGATGATGATGATTACTCAATTAGCCGAATGATCGTAAGCAAGGGGTCGGTCGGCTTCAATTCCGTATAGGTAATCAACTCTTTGAGCATGTGTGTCTTTGCCCATTTCGGGGATATTGTGTGATGTTATTTACGGAATACAGATACCTACAGTATATCTATTTATCTATAAACAGACAGACTAAAGGTATCTGTATTCTGTATGCAAATAAAAACGTAATTCTAGAAGATTTATATTAATATTAATTGGGATGATGACAGGGTATGAAAATTAAAAATATAATTAGTCCGTAAGTTAGGTAATGAAAAAATATTAGACACGTATTTTCTATTTTGTCGTATAATAAAACAGTACTTAGATAAAACGAATCAAAGTTTAGGAGTGGGGGCTAAAACGTCATTTCTACGTATAAAATGTACATAGATGTGACGTCAGGCGACATTTTAAATCGTCGTCGAAAGTATTCGTTTCTGTAAGAAAATAAAAAATACGTATCTAATGATTTAAAATAATCTACCAGACGGGCATTAAAATAAAAATTAGGCATCTACCCTATTGTAGACTGGTAAAGGTGTACGAATACTTTACAGCGTGTTGTTTATTGATAGATGCATGTTTACGGAGCCACGTATTAGCCATAAACTTTTATTACAATATTGTAGTACTTGCGGTTTTATGATATAATGTGAAAAATACTTCACTTTGTTGGCCCGGCATTGCTCACGAATTTTCATAATTATTTATTTCTATCAATAACAAGCTAGTGTGTAGATACTGCTAGGATTAGATTACTTTCAGGAAGCCGCATCAGGAGCAGTCCTCCCCTCCCCTCCCGCCTCACCCGGGCGGGAGAAGTCATTCGATGATGTTCCCCCCTTCAAAAAAGACGATATACCACTTGCACCACGCACAAACCACGAATGCGTTGGCGACCAGAGACGAATTTAATTACCTTGTCGCTACCATTTTTGGAAATCTTGTACTCATTATGATGTACTTTATGTATGTAGATTCATACACATGAGCAAAGCCGCCGTTAAAACCTAGTCGCCTATAAAAGCAAGTCCCACACGAATATGTGAATTTACGATACATTAAATCTTATTTATGAACCTGCTGGCCTGCTGGCTATGTAAATGACTATATTCGTTTGTTTGTAAGTACTAAACTCGTGCATACTTAGGTACTGTAAAGATACTTGGAGCTAGGTATGTAGGGATTGCGATTGAAGTGCCTAACTTAGTGCCTGTAACTGTAATTTTTCAATGACATAACATCACGCCTTTTATCCCCGAAAGGGTAGGCAGAGGTGCACATTATGGCACTCAATGCCACTGTACAGTGTAACACCCACATTTCACTATTTATGTTATGAGTCCCATGTAATAGGGGGTGAGCCTATTGCCATATACCGGGCACGTTTCCAAACTCCGTGCTACTACTAAGGTTTTTTTAAAACCCAGTAGTACTTTGCCTGAACCGGGAATCGAACCCAAGACCCCTTGCCCGGCAGTCGCACTTGCAACCACTCGGTCCACGAGGCAATTTTTCAATGCTCAAATAAATTTTAATTGAGGAATAACTTTCAATAAGTATTTGACAATTCTCTATAAACAGTCAACTGTTAATTTCATTCTACAGTTAAGAATTAACTGATGATTGAAAAATCGGCCCTTACGCTGAAATACTCAATCGTCACTTAATAGACTCGCTTAAATATAGTTCTATCACTACATATTCTTTGTAAAATGACAGTGATGGCACGATATTTAAGTACCTACCTACAACATAAAATACTCGGTTGCCAATAAGAAAAAAAAAACTTAAAATTGAGTAACATTTTAGACAATTAATAGTATACTATCTACAGTACGGTTCACGAGTTATGGCTGGTGTGAAGTTAGCCGCAAGTTACTTTCGCGCATGTATACTCGCAAATAAATTGATTAAACAATAAAACGATCGTGTTTAATTAGAGTCAATCCCTAGCATATCTCTGTCCCGCACACGTCGCCGTTTGCTTTACACCCGCCATAACTCGTGAACCGTACTGTAAGAGTACAATACATTGGTCACCACCAACCACGGGATTACACATTTGCCAAAGGCCGGGTAGGAGCGCTTTTTGCTAAACCTAAATTATATCTGCCTTGTTGATTGTGTGGTCACAAGCATGATTGCGCAGTAAAGAGCCTCTGATTTCTTTCTCGGGTCGGGAATAGTTGGTACCTATTAATTGAGGAATAGGTTTTTCTAAACCTTCTCAGTCGTAGCACGGAGTATATAATTATTTTTTTTTAATTGATGGGTCGACGTTTGACCACTATCTTGCCTGGTGGTAAGCGATGATGCGGTCTACGATGGAGTACGTCGTCCCACAAGCAACCTATTTCCTATTCTGGCAAAAGGTCTGCTTCTTATCACATGAAATCCATAAAAAACTAGAACAGTGTTACAATATTTAATGTGCAACTCTGCTTAAATTTTCTGGGAACAAAAAGGGTCATGTGTTTATGTTATGAAAAATAATAGTTCTGAGTCATGAGTCAAGGTTCCATTATGACATTAAAGTGAAATAAATAATACTAGTTACTCGGAAAAGAAGTGAAAATTGGGGTCAATTGTACGCTAACGAGCATAAATTCAAACTAAACAAATAATTGTGGAGTCATTCGCAGAATTGTTACCAAATATTTTTAGTTAGTCATCAACTGAGCTTAATGTTACTTACAAGGAAATAAAAAGGGTGGAATGGAAGACGGCGTAAAGCACAAGTGCACCTAATAATATGTAGCACAGTAGTACCTACTTACACTTTAATCCTTATCTTTACTAATATTATAAATCGGAAAGTGAGTTTGTTTGTTTGTTCCACTTTCACGCCGTAACTACTAAACCAATTGCTTTGAATTTTTGTAGACGTAAAGTTAAAAGTCCGGATTAAATAATAAGGTACTTTTTAACCCGGAAAAAGATATTTCCGAGGGAAAGCAAAAGTATTGGTATAGATGGCGCTGTGTGTATTGGTATATGTCACATAGGCTACTTTTTATCCTTTTGTGACGCGAGCGAAGCCGCAAAGAAGTCATTAGCAAGACTTCTTTGAAAACACGCTTCGATTGTCCTCAAGCGTGATATGAAGTGATATGGAGTCTGGAATTGTGGCTAACACAGGCTTACCCGCTTATTAAATGGGACTTATAACTTACTAGCTTTTGTTTAATTTGGGTAGACGTTCGAGAAAAGAAAATTCCAATTAAAAATATTATTATGTTTAATATTTCATTAAACCTAATTTCAAATTAGTATTATACGATAACACTTAAATAAAATATTATTTTCATATAATCAATAGGCACCCATATTTATCAATAGACATTCTATCTTACAGCTACAATACTATGACATCTTGGGGACAAGACAGGATCAAACAATTTCACTAAATAAACATTATCAAACCCATTTTCAAATAAAAACAACAATCTATCTAATAAAATCAAACTCTCAACAACTTGAGCTAAACATAACCTAATTAAATAAAACAACACAAGTTTTTTCCACTGGCAATCCATACTTCTTTCTACATCCGTAAAAAAGCTGGCAGGCAAACTGTCATAGAGTTCCAATTTTAAAATTTCGTCCGCCATTTTGAAGTACTGTCGGAATGTTTCACATTTCGGAGTTATCCTTTTCAGTTTGCCTTCCGATATTTTATGGTTTGGTAGCTGCTTTTGAATTATATCCTGTAAACAATAAATCTATATAAATAAAAATGAATTTCTGTTCGTTAGTATCGCTTAAAGTCGAGAACGGTTGAACCGATTTGGCTAATTTTGGTCTTGAAATGTTCAGAAAGTCGGGTAAAAACATTGAGGCGGTATGAAGTTTGCCGGGTCAGCTAGTTATATATAAGCTTAGGAATTTGTCACATGGTAGACAACGTTTCTTAAACATTATACTCAATACTCAATACTTTATTGCTTTTCACGTGTATTACTTAGGTGGTAAAGATAATTAGGACACTGTGAACCCTGTCGGGTGAACATTATATTGTTAGGGCTGTTGGTAACATAACTAGGCTATCTATTATATTTCGAAAAGTATAATACCAATTGGCTATCCTACTAAAACGTTCGACTATCGGGGTCATCAGGAAGTCTGGATAGTTGAGGGTCGTCAATTGCTTTATACAATGTGTAAAGCAAGGAGTAAACATCAAATCTATAAAGGCCTGGACAAGAAACTCAAACGATACTTTGAAATGTCTTGGTGGCCCGGAGGTTTAAGACGCCCGCTTCTCACGTATGAGGGTGCGGGGTCGTAACCTACCACCGGCAAGTACCAATGTGACTATTTTCGAGTTATATTTACTTTCTAAGCTTATTTAGACTCCACAGACGAACGGTGAAGGAACACATCGTGAATCACGAGGAAACCTTTTTTTTTTTTTTTTTTTGAGGGGGGAAAATCATCCAATGACTTCTCCCGCCTGGGTGAGGCGGGAGGGAGTGTCAGACTCTTACTGACTAAAAACCACCCCGTTCCTACTCCTGCACTTCGAGCCGGAGCCCCGGCAACCCGTTAAGTCTTCCGCGGCTCCGTATCGGCATCAGCCTTGTTAGGCCCCATCTGTGGTGGTCTGATGGCTCCTTGAGGCGCGCGCGGAACGCGACGCGCCGTACGCTCGGGCCTGGTTCTGGTCGGGCGGCGAGTCACCCATGCTCGCCGTCCGCAGGCCCGTGCTTACGGTGGCCGGAGATCGTCTCGCGATCCCCGACGCCCGGAGTGTCTCTCGCGACGGCCGGGTCGTGAGGAGGTTCGTTCCCTCACGCGCTCCGCCTCCTCCTTAGCTAGCATGACTGCTTCGCAGAAGGAGGAGACGGCATCCCAGTCCCCCTCGCTCCGTACCATGGTCTGAACCAGAGCCGGACGCGAGAGGTCGCCGTCGCCGATCACATTTCTGAGGACACGGCGGTGCTCAGTCCACGCAGGACACACCGCCACCGTATGCTCCACCGTGTCCTCCGGGCGATCCTCGCAGTGATGACACCCGGGCGTTTCCTCCCGCCCAATCCGAAACAGGAACCTACCGAAACTTCCGTGTCCGGTAAGCACCTGCGTCAGGCGGTAGGTGAGGACGCCGTAGCGTCTCTCAAGCCACTCCTCAAAGAGGGGACTTACCGCTGCAATGACAGCGAGCCCAGCCTTCGGTTGCGACAGTCGTTGCTGCCATTCCGCCATGAGATCACGCCGGAGCTCATCCCGCCACGCACTTATCTGGCACGGCAGCGGAGTTTCGCCCCGGTGACGTGCCTCCGCGCGCATGTTATACACGCGCGCGAGCACCTTCGCCTCCAGATCCCACGGCGGTAATCCGGCAAGGAGGTTCGCCGCCTCCCCGGAGATCGTGCGATATCCGCGTATCAATCGGATCGCCATGACCCTCTGTGATGTTAGCAGCGCCCGAGCCGGCCGCCGCATCAGGTTCGGCGCCCACACAGGGGCGCCGTAGAGGGCCATGGACCGCACGACCCCGGCGTATAACCTCCGGCAGGAGGCATTTGGCCCCCCGAGGTTGGGTAGGAGGCGCTTAAGCGCCGCCCCCGTCCTTTCCAACTTAGGAGCCAAACGTCGGAAATGCTCCACGAAGTTCCACCGACTGTCGAGGACGAGTCCTAGGTACTTCATCGTCGTCTCGACGCCGATGGTAACTCCTCCCGCCGTTAATTGGGACTCACCCGGAGGTGGCGCGTTCCCGCGGCCATGAAAACACATGGCCTTGGACTTGTGGAGCGCCACTTCGAGTCCCAGTTGCCGGATTCTTTCAACGACTGTCGTAACCGCTCTCGCCGTTAAATTAGCCGCCGCCTGATGCGACCTCCCGTGTGCTAACACCAGTGTGTCGTCAGCGTAACAGACCACGCTGACGTTGTTCGGGAGATCGGTGCGCAGCACCCAGTCATAGCCGATGTTCCACAGGAGCGGCCCCAGAACCGAACCCTGTGGAACACCGCGCGACGTCTCTCGCCGGTTCCACTCACCTCGGTGACCGGGGTAAATGACGGACCGTTCCGTCAGGTATGCCTCGATTACACGACGGAGATAGGTGGGCACCCGATGATATCGAAGTGCCTCCAAAATGCAGCTCCAGGGCAGGGAGTTGAAGGCATTGGCGATGTCCAAGGACACCGCCACTACGACCTTACCCCTGGACACTGCAGTCCCCGTCGTGAGGTCTCTTACACGCATGATGGCGTCCACCGTGGAACGCCCTCTGCGGAAGCCGAACTGGCCGTCCGACAGGTCCGGCCCAACATCCGACAGGTGCGCGACGAGGCGGTTGGAAATGATCCTTTCGAAAACTTTTCCCACCTCGTCGAGCAACACGATGGGCCGGTACGCGGACGGAGAGTCCGCAGGGCGTCCCGGCTTCTTCACTAGGACCAATTTACCCACCTTCCACAATAGCGGGAACTGGCCCCTCTCCAAGCATGCGCTGTAGAGACCAATTAATCGAGGCTCGAGAGCCTCCGAGGCCAGGACCCACGCCTTGCCGTGCAGTCCGTCGGGTCCCGGGGCGGTGTTTTTGGCGCCCATCCGGCGTACCGCCGCTCTCAACTCGGCCTCGGTCACCTCCGAAACTGTGTCGCCGTCGTCTTCACTGTGGCCCACATAGGGCACCGCAGGGGGCGGAGTCATGGACGGAGGGGTGTAACCCCTCTGTAGTCGGGGGAACAAGGCGCCGACCACCTCCTCCACTACCTCTGGCCGGAGACTCTGAGTCAGCGGGGGAGCCCATGTGCGGAGCTTATCCCGCACCATCCGATAGGGGCGTCCCCACGGGTCTCTGTTCAGAGTTTCCAAGAACTCCTGGAGGGCATTCTCTTTGGCCCGCCGTATCTCCGCTTTGAGGGCGGCCTTCGCCGCCTTGTACCCCTCGTACAACTCCGCCTCTCTGACCTCTGCGTCCTGAGGACGGATACGAAGCCTGCGGTGCCTGGTGTACCGGCGTCGCGCAGCAGTGCATGCACTGCGTAGAGCAGCCAGCTCTTGCGACCACCAGTACGTCTGGCGCTTGCGCTGACCTGGCCGGACCCGGGGCATCGCCACGTCACAGATTCTGGACATGGCGTCCTGGAGCCACCTTGCCTCCTCATCAATGTCGGCAGGCCTGTCCGGTGGTATCACCCAGGCCTGCACGATTGCGGCTTCCAGGAATAGCTCCCGGTCCAGCTGTCTCAGCGCCCAACGCGGGCCACATGGGGCCTGTCTGACCAGCGGGTCCGCGGACTCGGTGGAGACGTTAAACCGGATATACCGGTGGTCGGAGTACGTTTCCACCTCCTCCATGACGCGCCAGTCAACAACACGCGGCGACAGAGCAGGGCTAGCGAACGAAATGTCCACCACCGACTCGCCCTGCATCCGCACGCACGTGGGGACAGAACCCCGGTTCAGGACGACTAGGCCTGCCTCAAGGGCCCAGTCTTCCACCATCCTACCCCGAACGTCAGTAAACCGGGAACCCCAAGCCAAGTTTTTGGCATTGAAGTCCCCGAGGACGAGCACGGGGAGGGAACGGAACCCGACAACGACGGCGACCAACTCCCTCAGGGAGTTGTGGAACTCGGCGAGAGTTCGGTTCGGAGAGAAATACACGCCCACCACAGCGATCTCTCCGAACCGTGCTGCGACACAACCCCGGCCTCTCTGAACGGCCTCGAGAGTCGGGGTACCGGCGGCGGCTGACGAGATGATGGTCACCGAGCCGTCCAAGTCTGCCACCCAGTGATCCCTTTTTTTTTTTTTTGACCCTGGGAAAATACTTTATGTATCATCCTCCCGTGGGGGGACGGGAGGGATATGTGGGACTCTCCGGAAGAAGCCCGGCATACCCACTAAAAACCCAGGAGCACACCAGCGTCGCCATGTGAGGGGGGGGTCTGGGAGACCGGGTGAACCTTTACGACCAGGACCCCCTCGGCTAGGCCTGCCAAAGATGGCGGGCCATATCACGCCCCTCCCTGTGTCGGGGAGGGGTCTCGGGAACGGTCGTGTGCCAACCGTTCCCGTCCCGCGAAAGGTGAATAGTGCAATGCGGATGTAGGCGCCCCCGCGCCTACCACCCGCTATTCACCCCCGGGAGGGAGAAGGCGGTTGTATTGCCGTCTTCTCCTACCGACTCTACGTCGTCGAAGCGCAGGGGCGAGGGCATCTTCCTCCCTCTCACGCTCTGCCGCCTCCTTTTGCGATATGACGCAGTGATCCCTGGGCGGGACAAAATACGGCTCGGAGACCACAGCGACATTTATTGACCACTGCGCCATGCTCTGAAGCAGGAGATCCTGAGCGGCGGCGCAGTGGTTGATGTTCGCCTGAAGGAGGCGGAATGGAGCTATTATTGGCAATCCATCCCAACCTCTTCCCTGACGGCATTAAGGCCAGTGGTGGCCGCGGCGACGGTAGCAGTGGCGACTGCAGCGGCGGCGGCGGGACTGACGGGGGCAGCGGAGGGCCTACCCTTGCCCCTAGATTTGGCAGGAGGGGAGCAGGCCTTGCTCCCGACCCGGTGATTGGCCGGCTTACCAACCGCCGCACATGTATGACAGTGCAGCGGGGCAGAGCACGAGCCGGCTCTGTGACCGGGCTGACCGCACCGGAAGCAGCAGTCGCTGCGGTCTACCTCCGAGGTGCACCTAGCGCTCACGTGGTCACCTACGTGGCAGCGGTAACACCTTATAGGTCGGACCTCGAGCAGTTTGACCTGCGCCGAGACCCAGCCTACCAGGAGCCTTCGACCCTCCTTTATTTTCTTGGCCGCTGAGACGGGGCAGCTCACTACAACCGTTCGCAACCCCGAATTATCTGCACGGATGGTGCCAGCCTTAACCTGCTCCGCAGGGCACTCACCCGTCCTGGCCACCGCGGCCACGACCTCCTCCTCCGTCACGGAGTCGTCCAGGCCCATTATACGTAACTCCAGGCACTTGGTTGGCCTTGAAACGCGAGCCTCGTCTGCACCGAGGCACACTCTGAGCCTTTCGGCTAGAGCGTCAGCGGTTGGACCGCTGGTCGCGCCGGGGACCTCTAGTAAACGGGCTCCAGTCGCCGTCACTTTCAAAGAGAACCCGTTAGGGGCCCCGTACTCCGCGGGAGTTACCGCCTGCTTCAGTTTGGCTAGGATGTCGCAATATGTCACGCCTCTTTTGACCGCGTCCGGCTGTAGAGTTATCACTACAGCCGCGGTTTTAGGGGCGACAAGCATTGCCGCAGCGCGCTTTTCCTTGCGCCGCTGCCGCTGCCTCTGCCGCTGCACCTTTTTTCGGCGCTTTCGCCCTTGCTTGGCGACCCTCCTCGCCTCTCCGACCACCTGCCATCCGCCGTCGCTGGCAGGGGAACCCGAAGTTCGGGTAGGCTCCACAGCTGGGGCAGTAGACGGCCCAGCCACGGCGCTCCCTCGCCTACGAACTGTTGACGCCCTCACCACCGGTTCAGCTGGAGCCTGCGCCGGCGAAGCCGCCGGCGGTTGGGCCCGGACACCGCGGCTAGACCGACCAGGAGTAGTCGGCATAGCTGCCGCAGCCGCAAATGTGCGCGGTGCTGCTTGACTCCCTGCGAGTGGGGGGCGGAGGATCCTGCTCTCCAGCACGTCAAAACGCTGCTGGAACGCAGCCATCTCCCGCCGCACCAGGCCGATTATGTCAGCCTCCACTGGCTGCGAGGCTCGGGGTCGACCCTCACGAGCAGCGGCGAGCTCGGCCTTGGCTGACCGAAGCTCGGCCTCCATAGCCGCATTGGAGGCTGTCAGCCGGATCATTTCTCGGCGCATCTCCCCCAGCTCTTTTTGCAAGGCGGCCATCTGCTGTCCTGCCGCTGAAGGCAGCCCACACTGTCGAGCCGCTTTCATAATGGCTGCCTTCGCTTGCCTTAGCACTCCGTTTCGGCCCTTCTCGGACTTCTGCCCAGCCACCGTCCGGAGTGTTTCTTTGACCACCTTGCAAAGTTCGCCATTTATGGCACCAAGGTCGCCTACTGAGCCCTCGCCGCCAGATTCTGATGAGTCAGCTTCAGCTGACTCGGCCCGAGTAGCGGCCATCGGCCTCTCGGAGCCCTTTCTTCGACCCCTACCCCGCGCAGCCGTAGGGATCTTAGGGGCTGGAGCCTCCTGCTCGTTGGAGGACGGATCCCGGCCCTCCTTCAACCTGGGACGTTTAAACGTCCCCTTTTTTTGGCGCTGTGAGCTCAAGCTGCGCAATGAGTAAGCGCCAGATGCGGAAGAGTAGTCAGACTCTGCTTCCGACATCCTCCGACTTAAGGCCCGTGTGAGGGATTTGCTGGACGACTCCAACACTTCCCCACGGGTTCCAGAGCCACCCTGGCTCTCCCCGCCAACAGCAAGCGAACTAAGCTCGCTTGCCCTCTCCTCCTCCGGTGTTTTATTTTTGTTTTTATTTTTATTATTAGAATCCATACAATTCCCACGAGTATGGGGGAAATAAACGGTCCGCCCAGGCAGTGCCCCCTGTACCTGGGTAAGTGTATATTTGTTTCCCAACTAGAGGGTCCACCGGTACCCTAGCTGGGGGTGCGCTCACGACTGACACTACTCCTCAGCCATGCATACCCTCGCCGCGCACCAGAACTTGGTATTGGAGGAATTTTTTATAGAGGTTATCTTCCTCGCGGTCCGGGCGACCAAGCCAAGACCCTCGTCCCGTTCTGAGTCATGAGACATCCATGATCTCTTCTCGGATTACGATTTCGACGGTTGCAGTCGAGGACTCATGTGTCCCGATGCTGCTCGTTGGCAGGGTGAGTGCGCAACGAGCACCGCCCTTGCCTCTCCGCCACGTTCTCTGCTAAGTTCAGAGAGACGGGCGGAAAAACATCCCCTCGGAAGCACAGGCTATATATCAGCACACAGCCCGCCGCCTCCAGAACCCATCCTGGGTTCGTCCGCCCCGTCCAGAAGTTAGCTACAGGCAATAGCCACTCCAACCCTATCACTCCCGTTAGGGAAACTATCACCTGTACCCAGGGTGCACCACGGGGAGGTCTTCTGGCACCGCACCCCATCACGAGGAAACCTAAGCTTACAAATTTGTAATTATAAGTTTAAAATCGCCAACCCGCATTGAGCAAACGTGGTGATAATGCTCAAACGTTCTCCGTGTGAGAAGAGGCTTTGCTTAGCAGTCAATTATACGCTGTAGATGTGTCGATGTGGGACAAGAAACTATCTGCTGTGTTTACACTAGCACATGTATTACTAAGTTTACGGAATAAAGTGACAATTTCTCAGTGATATTACCTGTAATAAAGCTCTGTACAGCAAGCTGGTGGACGGTAACTGTCGGTCGTTGACCACCCTGTCTATGGACTGAGCGGCTAACATTCGCGCATTCCTGCCAAGGTTGTAACCTGAGAATATTTTATCGTAGTTGTTAGTCACATTTTGATTTTCTGACTAAATTAAATAAGATCTTATAGTCAGCCCGATAGGTAATGTACAAGATTTAAAGTTCATTAATTATGTGTGTATGATGTCGACAACGACAGTCGCCGCGTCGCGGGTCGCGGAATTCTGCTCATGAATATGAGCCTCTAGCATGGCTTGAAACTGATCGAGTTCCTCGTCAAATAATTACGTGAGTAAACCGAAAAACATAATAATTAATTTAGCATGTGCCACGAAAGTTATAACATAAATATTCAAAGTATTATGACGATGTCTCAGTATTATGACGTAGCGGATACGCAGTTATAAAATTGTGTTATATTACAGTTCTGCTTGGCCGTGTAACCATATGGTCTATAAAAAAAATTTTGCTACAAGTCGACAACAATGTTACAGGTAAACTGATATCAAATGTTTTATATTACTTACGTAAATATAAAAGAAATTGCGCTTTTTATCACTGGGTTTGTTTACTGTACCTCCTGTAGCCTGTAGCACCGCGATGTTTTGAAAATAAATTGAAATCGCCATTTCATGGAATGGCGACCGAACCACAGCCCCAGGCTACTTAGTCATAGTTCTTGCTTTCAACGACTGACACAATATCATTCCATCATCAAATACATTAGCTTCAACAAGAGGATCTCGACTTTACTACCAAGTCATAAAGTTGAAAATCCTGAAGCTCACCTCTCAAATACTCAGACATGGGGAACCCTTGCCTGCTATCCTCTCCACCATAGTCCCTCTGGAAGACGTCAAACAGCTGGCCGTCCACTGCCTCAGTGAGCAAGTGGTAGCAACATGGCACGTTGAATACTGCAGCAGTGCTGGACTGGTTCACGAAGATACGCAGGGAGTCCGGGCCTAGGTTACCACATGTGTGGAGACCTGGAATTAGGATTTGGGTTTTCAAGACCTTCTTTGTATGTGTTGACTGTGTCGTTGTTGAGTAGTGATTCAAAAGTTGATTGAGAATCCTTAATAATAGCGAGGAATCATACTCTACTTACGTATACATATCTACATGGATCCCATTGATTGATGGAGTGCCCCCCTTTTTTTTAAGGGGGGAAATTCATCGAATGACTGCTCCCGCCTGGGTGAGGCGGGAGGGTGTGTCAGACTCTTACTGACTAAAACCTACCCCGTTCCTTCTCCTGCACGACATAACATCATGCTTTTTACCCCCGAAGGGGTAGCCACTGTACAATGTAACTCCCACTTTTCAATATTTAATCTACTTATGTTATGAGTCCCATGTAATAGGGGGTGAGCCTATTGCCATATACCGGGCACAAACGAATAGAATTATCATCTACAAACCTGTGAGAAGGAACTTGACATCTTGGTCTGCAAACTCAGGGAACTTATCCTTCACAAAGCTGGCGATGTCGGTGTGCTCCGTAATGTAGGCGGTGGCAAATCTATGAAGGTTCTTATTTATGCTCTCGTCTATGCGCTCTTCTATTCCGTTTTTTACACGTTTCGCTATTGCATGCCATTGTTTCTGTGACGAGAATTGTAATAGGTTAGTTTGATAGTTAAACTGTTTAGTTTTGTATAGACGTCGTGGGTGTCGAGTGTCGCGTATGAAATATTGGGTCTATTTTAAGATGGAGTTTGGCATTTTAGCACTGAGTCGGGACCTATACTTGGTGCGATAGAATCACCCCTACACCTACTCCGTTGGGTTTTGTATAAGGCATGATTTTACTTATTAGAGGTATATTCTTCTAAACTTGATTGCCTCGTTGGCCGAGTGGTCGCAAGTGCGACTGCCGGGTAAGGGGTCTCGGGTTCGATTCCCGGGTCAGGCAAAGTATTACTGGGTTTTAAAAAAATTCTCAGTAGTAGCACGGAGTCTGAAATTGTGCCTGGTATATAGCAATAGGCTCACCCCCTATGTGAGTGGGTGTTACATTGTACAGTGGCACAATGTGCACCTCTGCCTACCCCTTCGGGGATAAAAGGCGTGTGATGTTATATTATGTCTTCTAAACTTTTTTTAATGGAATAGGAGGCAAACGAGCATACGAATCACCTGATGGTAAGCGATCAGCGCTGACCATGGACACCAGTAACACCAGAGGAGTCACAGCTAAACTAAATCAAACAACTAAACTATAATTTGACCAGAATAACTAAGGCCATAATAAATAACAACAATAAAAAAGCAGACCTGTATAATCTTAATCCTGTGTGGTGCAGCGGCGACGGCCCGGGCGTCGCAGTCGAGCGTGAGGCAGTGCGCGCAGTATGCGAGGCACAGCGCCAGCCCCAGCGGCCCGCGCCCGCCGCCCGCCTCCACGCAGCACCGCGCGCCCGCGCCGCCCTGCAGCGCCGCCACCAGCGGGGACATTGTCTGTACCTGGTCAAATTAACGATCCCGCACCTTTAGCCAAGTGCCATTTAGCGCTTGTCTACACGTAGAACAGAAAACCAAATTATATGGAACTAGCATTCACGTAGTTACACAAATAAATTACGTTGTCAAACAAGTTAGCTTCATTTATTGTCGTAGTCGCACTAGGTATTGGTGTCGTGTGATAAAGAAATATGTTGGTATGCGGGACGCGCGAAACGCATCCAACGTTTTACGGGACTATTTTATAAATTATTTTAAAGCGGGATTACATCTAGCATTACGGGACGGTCCCGCATAATACGGGACGGTTGGCTGTCGTCTTTTGTCGAAAGTTATAATATAAATAGATACAGGATGTGTTTACAAACATAAATTTTTACATAGGTATCATACCTAGACCTGGAACATCAATTAGTGGATCATATATATAGATTGTTCCGCGTGGATATTAGGCCCACGACACGATAGCCATTGTCCAGTTGCTATGTTAAATAAGTATAATAATAAGATTATTTTAACAGATTTCATTAACACTAATGTTTCATACCTCATAACTCTTCTTGCTGGTCATAAACTCCTTCACCCTGATCTCCGGTTTGATCTCTCCGCCCCATGACCTGATGCGTTCGCGCAGCTGTTCAGCCGACAAGCAGTAGTCATTGTTGACAGATACACAGTGGGAACGGGCTGTGTGGATCCAGTTGGATAGAATAGAATTATCTGGAAATATTGAAAAACTTTCATTGCTTTCACTGATAACAAGCATTTTCTAACAGTGTCATAGTTTGTTGGTAGTAAGTAATAGTGAGAATGAACACAATCATACAGATGAACCGTAATCTATCATTGCCATCTATGTAAGTATTATTTTCACATCAGGGTGTTTTGGATATGGACGGTTTTGGTGATTTGGAGGGGTTTATTTTTAGGAAATGGGGCTTTGGTGATTTTTATTTTACTGTATTAAAAAATATCATACTGCGTCTGCCTCGACTGCCTCGTTGGCCGCAAGTGCGACTGCCGGCAAGGAGTCTCGGGTTCGATTCCCGGGTCGGGCAAAGTATTACTGGATTAACTCAGTAGTAGCACGAAGTCTGGAATTGTGTCCGGTATATGGCAATAGGCTCACCCCCTATTACATAGGACTCATAACATAAATAGTAAAAAGCATTAAGTGCCGTAATGTGCACCACTTCCTACCCCTTCGGGGATAAAAGGCGTGATGTTATGTTATGTGAAAAAAATCATAACAAAGGGAAATATCGATAAAATAATGGCTCTTTAAAAAAAAATAAGCAAACCTGCTTCTTTGCTTGAAGCCGCAGTCCAGAATTGTTCCACTGCCTCATTTAACTGTAAACCATTCAGGGTGTCTCTTAGAGATTCAGGTAAAAGTCCATCCCAGTGGTTCTGAGTTAGGAACTCCACCATATGACAGTTTGCTATAGGCAAAAGAGGTGCCAAGTATTTAGTTAAAGAATCTATATGGTGGCGAATTTTCAAAACTCTTGTATTCATTGATGATTCTGTAATAAAGAAATAAAATGATTAATTATAACTAAATGAAAAAAATTTGGTTTAGAATCAGAGTTTTTTATCATTATCATATGCTTCTTCTTCTTCTTATAGTGCCTTTTCAATGTTGAAGGTCGGCCGTCAGCTTCTTATTAGCCAATACTAAATACAGGCCTTATCTAACACCTTTTTTTATAGTACTGCTTTATTACAAACATGTATTATTTAAAATACACACAATAATAATCTGATGCATTAAAATAGAATACAATTTGTTAACTACAGAAGAAGAAAATGACAGCAGAAATCCATACAATACAGCTTAAAAAGAGAATTTAACAAGTTCAATTGCAATAATCTACAATACAATTATTATGATACACAATTTATAATATACAATATTCAACAAATATTGCTGTCCAATATTAAAAAAAAATACAAAAATAAAAACACACTTTCATATCAGCCCGTTGGAAGCATCCTGCTTCTAGCTGCTCTTTATCCCTGGTCCAGTGCCAGAAGAGTACAGGTATAGATACCAAGCTAACATAAACATTAATTAAGATATGGTTCTTTAATATTCTACTTACTAGAGCCCTCAAAAAGAGACTCCTGCATCATAAGGGTTTGTTGAAGATATCTTCAATAGAGCACAAGCCTTTTTATACTGTCCCCTTATGCTCTCAGCCATGCCCAGTATATCATGGTCTTCCGAATTGATCCTCGGGAAAGCATCAATGAGGTCTTTTACTTTGGTCAGTTGTGTTAGAACTTTATCAGAATATTTCTTCTCTGATTCTTCATTCAGATTTATATAGTGGGTGATGATACCTAAGTAGTAGCCTGGAAAATATAATAGATTTATTAACACAAACTTATCATAATAACTATTATTTTGTTTCTTATTTATTTAATTATAAGGCCTATAAATGTTCATCTCAAAGAAATAAAATTAATGTTAGTTATGAATTACAAACTACATATTCAAGTAGTGTGAAATTTTAAGCAGACAGCTGCTTTACTTGTTGATTAAAGAGTTGAATTTAAAGTTTGGTAGGTATCAATTTGTAGTCTCACCCAGTTCTCGTCCTAGTTCAGCGCCTCTGTGGTACCCTAAGTGGTAACCTTCAGGATTTCCTGCTTCGCTTCCAGCTTTGAAGCCTTGTTCATAACTTGCCTTATGTTCTTTCTCCTCACCGAGAACAATGTCATCTAAGATGTCATTAAAATCTTTTTCTTCAGCCATTAGCAAGTTTTCGATCCCTTGTTGTCATATTACACTGCTATTTAGAAAGAAACGTGAAGTTATTAAGTTTTAAGGTTATGCTGTTGATTGTTTACAAAAAAATGACAGAACGTTTCAAGTTAGCAAGTTGTTTCAAATAACGCAAAAATATGTACATTTACCGTTTACATTATCTCTTTACTTTTATTTTGTGTATATATAAATTAATTATAATTAATATACCGAACTTGCGATCACTGAGGTTGATAAGTAGTGATTTTATTGTATCACTTCGATTAAGATACTTAAAAAAAATATTTCATTATGTTTCTTTTAGTGAAACGAAATGTATAAACCTTGCATTCGATTGGTGGACAAGTGAACAAAACTAATCATCTGTCTTTGACAGTGACATAATTTTTTCCTTGCAACAGCGAGGTTAACAACCTTGACAGTTTGACATTTATTCGGTCCAATTTGGTTATAAATCGCAAAATAAAATCAAAAATTAAATAAACCACATATTTTCAAAATGAGTAAAATTCTCACAGCAGATGAAGTTAAACGGCACAATACAAGAAAAAGTGTTTGGATGGTGATCCGTAACGAAGTATACGATGTGACTGCATTTATTGACGAGGTATGCGAACAAAATTTTGTAAAGTACCTAATTAGATTCTTATTCTTTACCTACGCAGTTTAATCAGTGAATGGAAATCTGCTATCGTAACGAGGTCATTTGTTAAGCATTTTATATACACCACCTGTTACTTCGGTACAGTTTCGTTGAAGTAAAAGCGACCTTATTACAATGTTCGTAAGAATATTCGTACGTACATACTAACTTAAACACAATATGTTTCTCTTGTCAATAATGCCAATAGTCTATTTAGGTAAAGTTAAAAAAAAACATACAATAGGTAATTACCTACTAGATCTATCATGTTTTTATTATTGGGTTTTTATTTACGGTGACATTTCATTAGTTACTGGACTATTATTAACTCGTCGAGTACCGGTTTTATAGACACAATTAAAGAACAATAGGTCGCGGTCACCGGTGACCGCTCGGTGTTTGACAGATTAACATAATGCATAGTGCAAGTTGGGTCAATCATTGAGAATAATTATTTATACTATTATAATAATGACTGAGCCTGCGAATTCATCTGTGTGGAACACTGATTCACAACTCCTCCCCTGTAGTTGATTATGTAGCCTATATGTTGCCCTGACCTGTTAGTATTATTCAAGCAAAATTTGTAGTAATTCCATGCAGCACTTTTTTAAATTTATCCTGGACATAAATACAGACAAACAGACAAAAATTCTAATAAATAAAAACCACATTTTTGCTTTTGGTATCGACTGATCACACCCTATAATTCTTTAAAAAAAATATTTGATGTACATTTTTATCTTCCTATAATTTTATTATGTATATCGATATAAGAGTGATAACAATGGGTATACCTTTTACAAGTACCTAATTCTAGATTACCTATCTAAAATTGGCCCTATAAGTTTTCCAAGAGTTGTCATGTAACTGTAATAACAAATATGTTTCTGAAGTAGCTACAGCAGTGTTTGGTTGTAATATAATTTCTGGAAGTATTCACTTACATTCTAAATTCTACCTCTGCCTATCCCTATGAGGACTATTAAGTCTGATGTAATGTTGCATTGTTTAATTTCGGCAATAACAAATTTTTACGTAATTTATTTTTTATAAACATTGAGTCATTAAGGGAGGCCTATGTTCACCAGTGGACGTCCTATGGCTAATATGATGATGATGATGAAACATTCACCATATCATTTAAATGGAATTCATAAAAATGCAAGTACTTTATGTGATTGCATCACACTATATAAATATAAGTCAGTTGTGATGGGATCTTTGATCATAATAAATTTAAAGTAAATTTTCCGTTTTGGTGTAAGTATTTCTAGGGGCCCACTAAATAAGAGAAACATTAAAACATTAAGGGAAAAATATTAGGTATCACTTTAGAAAAGATCCAAATGCATACCAATAAACTGTAGTACAATTCAATCCAATATGTCACTTGTACTTACACACCTAATATGACCAAAGTTTGATCAAACTATTAGGTACTATTATTATAACATCCAATATTGGTGTCAAATAAATCACTCAAGGTTATCTACATTTAGAATTTGTCTTGTCATGTTTGTGTTCCAAGCATAAGCAGTAGCTAATGTATGTATGTAATTGAATGACATGGGCACGGATGAGTCCTTGGAGAATAAGTAATTGAATAACGGTAAAATGGGGTGAATAGGGTTTGAGCGGCGAAAAGGGACGGAATAGGGGTGAATTGATACTATGAAGAATTTCCTTATATCTATTCACTCCTCTTCTGTCCCTATTCACCTCTTGATCCCTTTTCACCTCATTTTACAGTATTAAAAAAAAACCTCTATCTTTATGCATCAGTCATCAGCAACAGTCAAAAGTAGTCCACTGAAGGATAAAGGCCTCCCCCTTAGTCCTCCACATGTATCAGTAAATTGAATTAATTGCAGTGATTCCAGATAATTGTTTTAAATCTGGAAACAGGAATGCCTAATCATGTAAAAAGAGCTTTAAACAAAATGTATGGTAGTATTCAATTAAAAGGTTATATTTGTCAGGAACTGTATTATGTTTGTGTTTTTTTTCAATAGCATCCTGGTGGAGAAGATCCGATCCTAGAAGCAGCCGGACAGGACGCCACGATAGCATTCGAAGATGTAGGCCACAGTGAAGATGCAAAGTGAGTTCTTGTTTATAATTTTGCAGGTATTTTAAATTTTTTTTTATTGACTAGAATGAATGAAAGAAGGTTCTATATTGTTTATACTTTTTCACTAAGTTGTTGTATAGCAGAAGTATTGTCTTCTTTGACTATCAAAATGTGCTAAAAATGAATTATTTTGTTTTCAGAGCAATGTTAAAAAAATACAAAATTGGAACCCTAGCACCAGGAGAAGGCTGGTAAGTATCTCCACATTATACGCAAAAATTACATAAAACCTCTATGCTTAAAACCAATCGGAAAAACCTTTGGTCCTCCATAGATACGCAAAAAGAACACCAAGCACGCAAAAATATAGTAAAAAATAAACACTGTTCTCTTAAAAATAAGCAAAGAAACTCAACTCCAGTCTCCACAGATTGAAATGGCTATAAAATAATGTAAATTGTTTGCAGTTGTAAAATGAGAGCCCAAATCTGGAGATCAAGGTAAAATAATTTGTGTCGTCACACTAATTTATTATAAGTTTAGATCTTATCACATAGATGTTAAGGTTTACATTTAAATGTAAGACATTATTGGATATGTATTATTTTTATGTGAACTTTTTATCGTCTTCACTATGTTCTTAAAATAGCACCATTGTGAACATGTATTGTCTAATTTAAGATCTTGTACGTTAAATCTTAAAGTCTATTATCGTACGTAAATGATTGTAGTCATGGAGGTGCTGTATTGTAAAGTAGAAGTCATTAATCGTAATCGGTATATCAAAAGTACAGATTCTATTCTATATTTAGACATTAGCTAATCTTATTAGATAATAATCTAGTATTTTTGTATAAACAAAAGTGTATATTTCCATATAGTGTGATTAGATAACATCTTATTTAATTTCTGGTGTAAGTTTCCATGCGGTCGACTTATCTTAGAGGTACAAAGTGTATGTTTGGGGCTTGTATTAAAGTTCACTTTTCTATTAGCTAATTATGACCCTAACCGCTTCGTATTTAGAGATACATATTTGTGGTCAAGTAGCCCTTTGCCTCAAGGCTAGGACAAGGTAAACTTCTATGCTACAGGCCCACCAAACTCATTAATGGGGGCAAATAGTTATTTAAAGATTGTAGATAGAAACCTGTAGTTACTCATTAACTTATTAAATGAAAGTTTTACAATGTCTACAGTTCACCATACCACCGAGATTGCACCGAGTGTAACGCTAGCAGGTATCTTTGATGACATTCACTTTTTTATTTAATTAATTTTTTTGGTCATAATTTTCTTAATCAAACCTGAACAATTGTACCAAAACAATAACTTTTAGGTAGGTACAGTGATTATCGATTCTTTATAAAGCCACAACTCAGTAGGAATTTTTGTAGTAGCGATTTTTGCTTCAAAATTCGAGGTCTTCTTCAAGATGCTTTAATTTAGAAACAAACGAGAAACTATAGATTTTTATGAAATATTCATCCGCACTAAAGTGCTGTGTCATGCCCAAGGCTGATAATCACTGTACTTGAAGACAGGTGGACAATTTGTACTGGCAAATCTTATCGAAAAAACTGTAGGCACGGCCTCGATTTACTATAACATTGTATTTACCAATATCGAATTACAATTATGTAACAAAATTTCAAGGCGAATGCTGAAATTGCGTCAGTCGGACCGAGTCATATCAAATTCACATTTTAACTGATGGAAATATTATTTTTAGATGTTTTTGTGTCATAGTAAACAAGGGGCCAGTACTAAAGTTGTGTATATTGCTCTGGAATAAGAAACTATTCAGTAGTTTCTTATTGAAGAGCAATGGAATATGGTTAAAGGAATCGTGATCTAAAGTCAGTCCTTTGGTTGAAATGGAAAAAGTTTAGTACTAATACATAGACAGTCTGCCATTTTGAAAAAAAATTAATTCTTCGAAAGAAACAGCCAGATTGGGAAACAATATACCTACTCGTGTTCAAAATACAGATTTTTACTAGGACGCAGTCGGTGTGAATTCATATTTTTATGGTCAAATTGGCAGATATAGTCCGGTCAACTAGAGCTCTTCTGTGAAACTTTTTTTGAGTGATGTCTAATTTTGTTATGGTTGAGATACCGCCATATTTCGATTTGTGTTTAAGGTATCTTTATATTTCGTATTAGACTTTTTCGGTTCTAACTGTTTATGTTTTCGCGCTGAATCAAGTGATACATAAATTATAGATTTCCGATGCTGCTGAAAGAAGTTGAACAAAAGAAGCACTTGTTGACTAAATGTCTTTTAGTCTGTACATGTTTAAATTGTAATTCAACTAGTGATATGCCTGGCACAAGCGATTCAAAATCGTGGCGATCCTTTGATGGTGGCACCCCGAGCACAGTCAGGTTCGGATTGCTTGTTTTATATACTTTTCTATAGAAACAATTTGGAAAAATTAGGAGCTTGCAGCTTTTTTGCTCGTGCACTCAGCGTGTCGCAAGAGGCGCTGGATAAGGTCCCCAAAAGGACACATTACTTGCTAATGTCGTTTGTTAATCTAGTCCGCTACGCTGGGACCGACAAGATCATTTTGCACACTAGCGCCACCTGGCGATGGCTGAAATGAATGAATATGAAGTGTTAGAATAAAATCGCTTGGAGTTCTGCACTGTTGATTAGTTAGAAAAGTGCACATTAATGTTGCCATACATAATTTTCAGTAGAATCTGGAAGTTGCTTTAGTTAGAAAAGCTTACAAAGATTGCTTTGTTAGAAATGTTTCGTGAAAAAAATGGTTTATTAACTTATTAATTTTGTAACAGCCGAAAGTCGTCACTCAAATGTTTTAACGAACCTGGGCCACCTAGGCACGAGAGGAGAATACAGCGTATAGTGGTGCCGAAAGAAAGGTTCAACTTTATTTATCTTTATATATTTTTTGTCTTGGCAATAAAGTTTCATTTATCTATGGAATCATTTAAAAAATAAAACAATCATTTACAAGATGTGCTGGAAAATTGTAAAGTTTTTAGCAATTTTTCAATTAAGTTTTGTTTCTGTTATTACTTAAAGATTTTTGCTATATGTACATACCTAATTTCTTTTTCCTTTTTTCCAAGACGACGACCTCGAGATCTGCCTTGTGCAGAACCAAGGTTATATTTATATTTTATATCTAATTGTTGAAGCATAGAGTGTCTATAGTTTAGTTTGTTAGATAGGTACTTATGTATTCGTAAGAGTATGTGTATTGTAACTTCACGCTCGTAACCCTTACGTAGGAACAGAACTCTAAGCGAAAGTGCATTATAAAAATATTCTGAGTCTTCTAACTAAATTCTCTAAATGATAAAAAAAACTAAAATCTCTAAAAATAAAATGGCTGCCAGCTGTCAGCCGCCATCTTAGTTTTGTCACGGTTTTCATCGCATTGTTAAAAGGTAACTAAGCATGGTACGAATTTTATATTAATCGCTACCAAGATTTAGTTACCTGCCATTTATTCTGTTTGAATATTGTCTGGAGTTCTACAGATCCTGTAAGAATACGAGCTTGAAGATGTGTATAATGTTGATCTTGTTGTTTAAAGGCGTGGAAAGCCTTGTAGGCCTGTTCTCTCCCCGCCTGCTCCACCCCCGGAGGAGTCCGGGTAATAATAGTACTAGTGTTTAAATTAGTTTTTGGTGTATCGGGTAATATGATACCAAGTGTTGTTAATCTAGTTTATAAATGAGAAAAAAGTATTTATTTATCAGAGAATAATAAAAATGTACCTATACTGTAAATGTAGTCTACTTACCTATCCTTGTAAATTAGTATAGTATTGTAAATTAACTATTTATATTAATATTAATTACTTATTGTAAGTTTGTAGCGTAGTGTATGTATGTCAGAAATTGGCATATATTTTTCATTGATATGACATTTTATATGCATATTAAAAGTTTTATCCACCGATTTTCACTCTTATTGCGTTTATGACAGGACAATAGTTTTTCATTACAATGTGAAACGGTTGTTACATTGCACAGTGGGATTAAGTGCCGAAATGTGCACCTCTGCCTACCCCTTCGGGGATAAAAAGGCGTGATGTTATGTTTATGTGAAATGGTTGTGCAAAACACTGCACTTCTGCCTTTGTAATAGAAACCAATATTGGTTGAAGCCGGCTTGTAATAATATCTAATATAAACTGAATGCGAGTACTAGATATCCTGCTGATAATTTTATTAAAACAAAATTTCATTTATCTTCTTATTTTCATTCTACTGAGTTTTTCAAAACAGTGAGTACTGAACTTTATTAATTAATGTTTTATTTTACAGTACATCGCGGTGGAAGTATGCAGTATTGGCGCTGGGAGTAGCTATCCTTCTTGGATTTGCATACAAGAAATACACGTCAGGCTAAAACAGATACTAAACAAACACCCAGTAGAGGTCCAAAAAATCTGGTTTAAACCAGTCAAGGTCTAGTTTAAGCCTAAGTTGTACCAGTCGGGACTGTGTCTCAATTCTCATGGCCACTGAAGGACCCCTGTACGTTATTTCAACGTCCATTGTCATAAAAAATCATTCGTCCCATAGTAAACCTTGTCTTCAAGTAGTTAAAGTTCAAAATTGTATGTCTTTGTCTCTATCTTTAGGTTGACTTCAGTGGTCGTAAATCGTTGTATTTATTAGGGTTCATAGAAAACAGATTTTTGAAGTCTGTTCGCATAATGTAGGTGCTTAATTAATATACTTTCAATGTTTGGCTACTTGTATACTCAGTGTCTATTTATTGGACCATAAATTGTAATACTTAAGTTGTTATTGGTGGAAAATAAAAGTCACGTATAAATAACATTTTTTTACTTGTTCGACTTCACATTCTGTTTCACTGAAACACTGTAACGACGCGTTTATTTTGTGATACATTTATGTACAAATCTTTTATACAACTGTTACAATTTTCTTATTTATTATGACATGATGCAATAAAGTAGTTAATAGTGAAATCTGTGTTTGTATTCACATTAATCTTTGGCTGCAGTTGTTAGTAAATGTTTGATTATCACAGAAGATTATTAAATTTATTCAATCAAAAATGCACCAGTAAAATGCAAAAGGAACCACGTACATGTATAGTAGTTATTGAAATTAAATTAAATAAATAACAAAGTATAAAATGACCTAACATTGTGAACCCCTTTTACGTTCTTTACAGAGCAATCAATATTTGTATGGAATAACTTCTCTGATTGTTAAAATTATGAATAATTGCGGCTAACTGTATTAATCCCATTGAAATTCGTTTCAAAACTACTAAAAACTCGTATTTGACAATGAAATTGTCACATAAAAAGGGGTTATCCTAAAAAAGGAACATAAAATTACTTTAAAGTTTAACGTAATCTACGAAAACTTGTAATCTACTTCACTTTGCGTCGTCACAGCATGAAGAAGCTGATGGCTGTGATGATGGCCAGGTGGAAGACGTTCACTTGAAGAGTTGTGCTGCTGGAATAGGCCCCGAGCTTGGCTGCGTAGGATATCGCGTGGAACACATAGTGCTGCTCGTGGACGTTGTGGAATAAATGGGAATAGGGACCTGGAAATAAGGGTTTCTATTATAATAATTATATGTCGGGTTGTGTTTCAGTAGCGTCGCTGTAGCGTATGACATTTAAGTTAGTAGGTAGCTGAAATTCATGGAGATAAAAATTCCAATTTTATTCATTTGCGTAGATTAAAGCAGACAATAAATCAGTGGGAGTCCATTTTTAATTTTATGTGGGTTGAATTATTTTTATGTATGTATGTACAAAAATAATGAGGGTATGGAAATACATAGAATACATTATGCGTGGCTATTTTTTTTTTTTTCGTTTAAAGGTTAAATTATTCGTATCAACATTTTAAATATTTGGTTACCGAATCATGACACCCACTCACCTCTAGCATAGACAGCCACATCGCCACCTCCATGGTAATTCTCCACGAGCTGTATACCGGCGACCTGGGTGTAGTTGTACTGCTCCGTGTCCTCCTTGCTAGGTTCTCGTCGCATCACGTGGCTGCCAGTCGTGTCAGTTTGCACGTAGAACTGGAATGACCCCGGACCTCCCGTGCCGTACGATAATGTTGTGTAGTTTATGCCATCATGGCTTGACGGTTGAGCTATGCCTGGAATTATAAAAGTTCTTTTTTCAAATAGGTATCATTAACATTTTTCGTGCCATAAGAGGTAAACTTGTAGTAATTTGTTTTTATAATTAACTATCGTGAGACATACTAAATTAACTTAAAATCACGCGATGTCGATGAAAACGAACGATGCTCATGAGGAGAACCCCTCTGTGGTTCGAACTTAGTAGAGGTTTTCTCAGTATATTCACGTGAGTAACCCGTGATTTTTAGTTAATTTTAGTACTTTTCCAGAACTTGGAATCGAAACAGGTCCTCTAACCGAATGAAGTAAATCGTTTTGGAGCGTCCTAGTCTGGAGAAGGCGAAGGATGCTGTAAAACTCTTACAGACTCAAAGTCACTGTGATATCCCACCTCACACGTGTCCACGGCAGGCATTAAGCCTTTTAAACATTCATGGTTTTGCCTTCTAAGCACTTCTTTCGTTCCATTTAGGTCGCTTTTAGAATTCTAGATTATTTCATCAACGGTCATACTAACCAAAAATACTGGACCCTCGATCAGGATAGCCGTTTATAGACAATGTATGCGTGTGGTCGCTGGTGACGATGAGCAGGGTGTCTTCCGCATCAGTCATGTCGGCTGCGAGTTGGACAGCTTCCTCCATAGCTACAGCCTCGTTCACAGCGACCTTGGCCCAGCCTCTGTGATGGGCCATGTCTACGTTGCCACCTTCTACCTGTGAATATAAATTATGTCAGCACCTTTGTATCTGCTAATGACTTTTTTCTCATGTTTATACTTTGCTGAAGAGTATTTGTTCTGACAATGGTTGTTGTGTTGTTGATTATGACAAATTGTTTGTATTCATTTAACCTAATTACTTAGGTAAGAAAGATATTTTTCGTGGGCGGTTACGTAAGTTTGAATCACGTAAGAACTCGGAATGTTCACAAATAATCCCCTAACCTAAATAATTATAACTTAGGTATAGATATACTGACCATGAGGAAGTATCCCTTTTTATTCTTCTGCAGGACTTTGATGGCGGCTCCCACCATCTCGGACAGTGAGGGCATGCCATCTGGTCCCTTGTTTCTCTCGTGGTCATAGCTCAAGTGCTCGTTCGAGAAAATTCCTGAAAAAATAGTGTAGAGTAGTGATCAGTTGGTGTAGGACCTGCAGGTTAACCCTTTAAATGTCTCGCACCACAGTTTTAGTTAAATAATGCCGTATCTATCGTCTCCAAGAGAAACTGATGAAAGAGAGTCTGTTCCTAAATTAATGAATTAGACATTATCACATATATTATCTACTTACCGAGTAAATAATCCGTTTCATTAACGTTCAGCTCTGCTAGCTCCCTATTGTTCATGATCACACTGTGTTTAAAACCTCGTGTCTGTTTGTCCGTCTTGTACTGCTCAATGAGGTTCCGTCCATCTTGCCGGTAGCAGGTCCACGGGCTCAGATTTATAGGGTCCTGCTCGGTGCCAGTTGCATTCGACACCAACTGCTGCCTGCCTCCTCCCATTATGACCTTATTGAAATTTTCACAGAAATAAGTAAAGAGAGATAAAAATCAGACAGATGGCTCCGTTCGTTTGGCTTCGCCTTGGTTTTTGTTCAGTTCATTAGTGCCATTCCGTCTCTCACAGTTAAATATGCTATTAATATATTTTAGTGTAGGTAATCATATCAATCACTACTTTATTTATTTATTTATTTCTATTTATTCCTTTTGGGGTTTTTTATTCACATGGATATGCCAACCCCTTACCCTCTTAGTTTTAATTACACTACCTTAAGTAATAATATAAATTAATTAATTTATCGAGAGAGAATTATCAATCGGGTATTTTTGCTAATCTACTTAATTTTACTGCTAACTTAGATTTAGGACTTGCCAAAACTGCCTGTAATAACCCAACATCTAAAACCTTTAGTTTAAACTCTTCAATTAATGATTCTCTCTCATTCTTGTTTCTGATACATTCCATCAGCAAGTGCAATCACTACTTATTATGGCCTATTTTTAGCAGTCCCCCAATGATTCCTATTTGTATTGTATAAACATTAGGAATTAGCCAAGACACTCACTTGCAAATCTCGTCCAGGCCAATCCTCGACAAGTTGTCTGGCAATGTCCTTGCAGGGAGAGTTGTCTGGCAGCCTGGCCTCACACTCCCAGTTGCGGCTCGCACTGTGCGCGTACAAAGGACTGGGGGTCGCGTGCGTCACTCGCATTGTTGTTACGAAACCTGAACACACACGATAATTAGGTATAATTTGGTGATGGCCTATAGAACTAGTGGATGGATAACTCTTCAATTAAATGGTACTTGCCTAATATATATGGCAATGTTATAATCCGTTTAACACTTTAATTACTAAGTTTAAATGGTGGAAGTCATACCTCCAGTAGCGTCAGGCATCGGTGACTGACGGGGTACTCTACAGGATAATTTTGTTTACTGTTAAGTGCATTTCGAAATTTCCAAAGTCGTTTGTAAAATTGCCAAATACCCAGCATGTTTTGGCTTTACTAAAAGTGGCATTACTTTATTATGGTATACATAGATAACAAGTGAAAGAATTATGAAATAATCGTGTTTATGAAGTTTATGCAATAGCTGCCTCGTCTATTGGAACTTGAAATGTTACGTAGTTGACAGACCTAGTTACTAAACAATGGGTTCCTTTCCCAGTCTATTCAACTTCGTTTAAATAGTCACCTGCACTCTTGTCAGCTTCCAAGGCTAAAGCTGCGAGGGACTTCAATCTAGCCTCGGCCTTGAGACCTGCTTCACAGTCCCTGTGCTGAACCGAAGCGTCGACTCCTACTGTATCCTGGTTGACCTTCACTCCGCTGAACATGGCGGTCGCAGTGCAAGCTGAGTCGGGCACCATCTTGTTTGCTGAATATGTCTGGAAAAGAAAACACGGGGATTTGAAGGAGTCATTGCAATGTAGAATAGTTTCGCTTAGGCGCTGAGGAATGGGTGTTTAAAATCTATACCTTCTTTGACAAAATAAACGCAATAAAATTGAAAGGCGAAAATATACTACAACAATAACTAAATATACACTATTATAATCTAGGATATATATTTTTTTTTCATCCGGACGACAGATTTATTGGTTACATGTGAAGTCTACGGACTTCATTACATTTCGCGCAATGTAATTAATTGCAATAATAATACAATTATTCACTAAGCCCACTACGAAATATGGAGAGCATCTATTGTACGGAAATTCATTTCTACGTTTACGTCTATCTAGGTTTCTGAATTTACCTTCAAAAGTCCCATATGAGGGAACTTCTCATAGACCAGCCTGTGGCTCTCCCCGCCCTTGTATATCCTGGCTGCTGTCACAGTGTTCGGTCCCATGCCGTCTCCTATGAACAGGATCACGTTCTTCGCAGGATTCAGGTTCCATTTTATCTTCAGGGCTTCTTCTAACTCATTGTGTGCGAGGTCCGTCCAAAACTGACGATCTGAGGAGCATTTGAAGACAGAAGTTTAAATCAAAGATTTAGTAAAGTTTTACATCTTATAATTACATGCTTACAGATAGATGGCAGGTACCTACCTAGTCTACCTCTTGGGTGGGGATAGGGGTGCATATTAAGTGCCTACGTACTACAGTCACAAACAGCATGCTGAACGCTGGTAGTCTAGAGATTAGAGATCTTAAGTGATTTCTGTAATTGATTGTAATCGTATAGATTGAGAGACACATACATAGTACTTCTAAACAAATTTAAGAAGAGAAGAATGTTTATACACATGCAATTTCAGATCAAAAACAATGAAAATATTTCATCATCGAATCGAAATAATTGAAATGACGAACATCGATATATCTTATTGTTGTATCACTATGACGTAAGTTAGTTATTAATTTCAATTCATACCTATACAATTGATATTAAGACTGCATGATCTTTTGGTGGGTTACCTATGTATAGAAGAAAATATTTAATTATAACCGAGTTGGTATTTAAACAATAACATTGATAGTTATCATTATCTATGCCATTGGCAATGTACATGATTAAGATAATTATTTATTTGACCGTTGACTGACTATAGGGCACAATTGAGTATTTACTTAGTGCATTATAAGATGAGAAGAGAACTTGACTTCATAATAAATCTATTCATACGCAGTGGCCATTCCTAAAAGGTGCACAATATCATATCTAGTTATTTGTATATCAATATGATGATTGCAATAATATATTTTTCACCTGGGTGCTTACTCTTGACCAATCTCAATGTCAATGCAATTTCAATCGAATAAAATCTCAATAATTATTCAATGTCAAAACTATACAACTCCCTATCGTAGCTTTTAAAATAGGATTCAGAGAACGGAATATAAAGCCAAACTCAATACCATTTAGTTCATTAAATATCCACGCAATACGGATGCATGTATGGTAATATGTATGCTAGTATTGCAATTCAAGAGTATGAAATTTCACAATATCAATGTCGATCGTTCGGAATTGGATTCAAGAGTAAGCCCCCTTAACAGCGCAACAACTCTAAACTCATTATTTTTTTTGAGACGGCAAAATCATCCGATGACTATTCTCCCGCCTTGGGCGTGGCGAGAGAGTGTGTCAGACTGTTACTGGTTTAAAACCACCCCTTTCCTACTCCTGCCTCGAGCTGGAGACCTGGCAACCCGCTAGGTCGTTCGCAGCTCCGGGAGATGATAGCATTGCATGTACCTCTTATAAGCATGAAAAGAAGAACCTTGCTCTGTGCAAAGTGTAGCTTCCATTGGTAGGGGAGTGTAGAAACATTATGTTAAAAATACATATATCTACAGTGGAATCTGGAGGTCAAGAGAATGAAAGGATATGCTAAAAATAAAATCAGATTATGAAGTTTTTGAGTTATCAAGATTCCATCTTATATACTACACGTTAATACAAGAGCTATAATGATTTATTTTGATATTGATGATCAGTGTCAGTGCCAAACGCCACTTTAGCGCTTGTCTACAGAGAGAGTAAAAATCAGAATGTATGGGAATGACACTGACAAGTGTTAAAATTTACGTCAATTCCATATAATTTAGTTTTCTACTCTACAGCTAGAGCTACAGCTGCAGGTCATATATGCCAGAATTCCATACCTAACGTGACCTGGTCGTCAGTGAGTTTTAGTTACAACAGATGTACATACATATTTCGCCTGATCATGTTGAGCACGAAAAGTTTTTCCTCATATTTGGATCTATCTGCATTTTTTATACCATTTTCTTCATGTATTTCATTTAACATATTTACACTCGAATACTGAAAGGCTTCTCATGCTGTACTTAAATATCGTGCCATCTATGCAATGACACGGATACTTCTATGCAATAACACTTCTATTTAACTTTTATATAACTTCTATTTACTGTCATGTACCAAGCAAAATCTTAGATGTGTGATTGAATCACTTTACTTGGCATTATTGTAATTACTAGTTTTTTTTAAAATATATTTTAAAGCATGATTAATACTTATAATATTTCTACACCAGCAATGGTAGTGTATGTGAAACAATATTTAATGTAAAACCTCAATGTACCATATACTTGGAAATAAATGACATTCTATTCTATTCATTCTATTCTATTCTATTCTATTCTATTCATTCTATTCTATTCTCTATCATTTTACAAAGTATTTGTAGTGACAGAACTAAGTATATTTAACGCGAATTAGAATTGAGTAGCGTTTGAATATTTGGACAATAGGAAGGAATTTAATTATTGTTTTACTTACATATCTTTTCAAGAAATCATGTCTGTGGCGTTATAATATTTATGATTCATAGTAATAACTATTAGGTAATAAAACACACGTATGTTATGATGGAATGCAATGAGATTTAATTCTCAAAAGATTATTTCAAATGAAATTCTCACATGACGCGTGTGTTTGAACCGATTTACTAGCATTTGTTTGAAGTGACGTCTATAAACACATAGGTTTCCATAATATGAATGTGCCGTTGGACCCAATACCCCCTACAGGTGCGGATGGTGGCCACCGGGGGATTTTATGAGGTGAACATCCCACGTTCTCTTCTCTATTTCCCCAAAAATCTAGGCATCTGTTGAAGGTTTTCCAAAGCCACTTGACTATTAGGACTAACTAATTGATCAGGATTAGAACTAATAGAAATTTCAGAAGATGCTATAGGTACACTTCATTTATATGGCCCTGGTTTTTGTATTATAACTTTTGTGAGACATACTAAATAAATTATTGTTTTTTCGGCTTACTCACGTAATTATTTGACGAGGAACTCGACTAGTTTCAAGCCATGCTAGAGGCTCATATTCATGAGCATTTCGCGACCCGCGACGCGGCGAGTGTTGCGATGCTACTGAAACTAGTCGAGTTCCTCGTCAAATAATTACATGAGTAAGTAGAAAACAATATCTATAATTTATGCCCTGGTTATCATTTCTTCTATTTTGTACTTACATGCTTTTGCCTTATTCGACCTATACTGTACCTACTCTACCTAAACCCCTGGATTGGTTACCAAAGCCATCCCATTGGTACCTATGTAAATATTTGTGCATGGTTCAATACGTAAGTTGGTACGTTTTTACATAAAGCGGGTCGGCGTTGGGCCACCTACTCAAATAGTTACGTAGTTAAGCACCTACACTACAGGTAGGTAAATCTAATTTAAGAATGAGGAAAACATTCTTACTGGAAATGAAAACTGAAACAGTTTCATAAACCGACGATTCTGAAGTTTATTTACCTACATGTTGTAGACAGGTATGTGCAAACAATCTTTAATTTCGTTTCGATGAAATACTTAATACAAGTATTAAGCCATTCCTCTTTCTACTGTGTATAGGTACACTGATTGTATCATCGGCTTACGTAACATAGCATAACATAACATCACGCCTTTTTATCCCCGAAGGGGTAGGCAGAGGTGTACATTATGCCACTGTACAATGTAACACCCACTTTTTCACTATTTATGTTATGAGTCCCATGTAATAGGGGTGAGCCTATTGCCATATACAGAAAACCGACGTGAAGCACCGCTTGCGCTGTGTTTCGTCGTGTAAGTGAGGTTACCGGAGGCCCAATTTCCCTCCCCTTCCCCAATCTCCCCAATCCCTGAATCCCCAACGATCCTTAAACTCCTAATCCCCAAAAAGCTGGTAACGCACTTGTAATGCCTCTGGTGTTCCAGGTGTCGCCGATTGCTTACCATCAGGTGATCCGTCTGCTCGTTTACCGGCTAATGCCATAAAAAAGAGCATGACATGACGAGTATGTTGCCACATTATGTCTCTGCATCCTTTCCTCGTTACTTCCCATACCACTCCTCGATTGTATAGCTGGCGCATTAGAGGTTGGGTAGGCATAATTGTTGGCACTATTTATACTGTACCGTACTGTTTTGACTGATTTAAAAAATAAATAGATAAATACCACACTTTAGATGAGACCTTTTTTAACTCCACTTCATTAGTTAACCAGTTTTTATTCTGTCTGGTATATCTGTCTGTCTTATTATTATTAAGTACTTGGAATACTGGAATTAGGTAGGTACGCTTTACTTGATCTGGGATAGAATCTTAGATCTGTTAAAACGTGAGACCTATATGTACACACTTGCGACTTTTTTATTTGTAAGTATTATAACTTTCGTGAGACATACTAAGTTTATTATTATGTTTAACGGCTTTCTCACGTTTGAGAAAGCCGTTATACATAATATGTGTTGAGTTCCTCGTCACGTTTGACGAGAAACTCGACTAGTTTCAAGCCATTTCAGAGGCTCATATTCATGAGCAGCATTCCTACCTAGGTAATAATTTACTTATTTGATTAGCTCTATTTCGTCGAATGAGTTAAGTGTCTTTATTATCTTAGTGACCCGTCCGTTACCCCTTCAGGTAATAAATCTATACTAATATTACAAAGCTGAAGAGTTTGTTTTTTTGTTTGAACGCGCTAATCTCCGAAACTACTGATTTGAATTGAATAATTCTTTTTGTTTTGGATAGTCCATTTATCAAGGAAGACTATAGGTTATAAAACATCTAGCTACGACCAATAGGAGCCGATCAGAGCGGGTGAAACCGCGCGCAAGTAGCCAGTAGCGTCATAAAATGAGTGTCCTACTATCTGCTTTAGAAACTTGGTCCTTACAATACACGCCTGCGCAACAGATGTTTGCAAAAGACACACAGATGTTTTTTGCCCTATCTAAAACAATAGGTACATTTTTACACCTTACTTTAAAACATTACAAAATTTTATAAAAAAAAGGACTAATTAAAACTTGGATCAAGTTTCATATAATTATAAACCTTAAATAAAACTAAAATAGAGTTTAGTATAGTAGGTAGAATCTTCAGAATAAAATTAAAAACATAGGAAGCTTACCTATTAACTATGTACCAATTGCTATAATTAGGTATGATGGTGTACTGAAATACGTAATTATTATAAGTACTCGTCATAGGTAGTCAATTAAATGTAATTATTAGCGCTTCACAGAACTGACATAGTGAAGCCCTGACTCTTGTACTAGGTATCCCTGTATCATAAGAGGTCTCTCAATATACAAGCAAACATTGTACCATGTGAGAATTGAATGAAATGAGAAATGAATGAATAGATGCATTAGGAACTTAAGAACAAATTTATCTATTCATTAAACACATTCATTGAACCCGACAACAAACGGTAAATAGTTTAACCTTGGCAAATAATTGCCCAAAATTTGTACATAACCAAAAAATCTTAAACAACAAACAACCACATAATTAAACAGTTAAAATAGAAAATAATTTATTAAAAATATTATTTAAATAATAAATAAACTTACCCGTTCGTAACGTGGATCGTACAGTGACGATAAAAGCACAAAACGCGAGTACACTGCGCGCACGCATGTTTGACACTAAAGATCTATACGTCACTGTGCGCGCACGCCGTCTGCGATGATTGGGTAAGGCGACGCAATCAGAGGAGCTATATACAAAAGGCTTACAAGATTGTTGTTCGCAAATTACAAGGATTATGATAATTATACGATAACATTATTTTCTATTATGCAATTTTGTGTTTGTTTTAGAGATTTTTATGTTGATGAGAAATATTTATTTGTTACTACATTACTTGAATTTATTAACGTACATACCTAAGTAGACGAGTAGGTAATTCGCCATGCATTTATTGAGAATTCGTTGTACCTGTAGTTTAGTTATGTTATGTAATGTAGTTTAGTAGAATTATGCTTTATATCATAAATAGCATAGCTAATGACTAATATTTATAATTAGTTTAGAAAAATTACTAGGTAATGTGTAGTTCGATCCTCGCGTTTCACGTTTATAGTTAAGGGCTCGTGTCGTGGCATGAAACTAGTCGAGTATGAATAAGACAGAGACTGAAACACCAGCGGCGTTACAAGTGTGTTAGCGACCTTTTGGGGTTTAGGAGTTTGAGGATGGTTGGGGATTCGGGGATTGGGGAGATTGGGGAGATTGGGTGAGGGGGGGGGGGGGAATTGGGGTAATTAATTTAATGTTTCATAAATCTTAATGATTCTATATTATCTTAATAATGAATCCACAAAATTGAGGAAGTTGAACTTCTGAACAATATATTTTACATTTACTGAAACTTTACCAGTTTTCAGCAAAGTATCGACGTGTTGAGGGTCATCTTAAAATATGGTGTTATGTTTATCAAACAGAGGAGGAACACTGTGGGCTAATTTTGTTAATTAAGTAGCTATTTATATTGGGTTGAGGTTGGACCGAACTATATAATATAATTAGTGTCAAAAATATCGCATGCTACATGCTATAGTGATATAGAATAGAATAGAATAAACGTTATTATACACCATTAATAATATATTACACACAGAAAAAAAAATGACAAACATAAATAAAAAATAATAATGGACACAAAGGCGGTATTATCACTTATACTTATAGGTAGGGTTACAATAGTTTTTGATCTGTGTTTTTTAAATATTGCTCCTGTCTATTTTAGAAATCCACTCTTATGTTATGGGTGCGTTAACAAGTATAGGTATTAATTAACACACGAAACAATAATTTGTGAATCATACAAATAATGTTTTGTGTCGGATTCGACACCTCGACTCGTTGGACAGCAGCCGGTCGTCCATCCAATATGCTAACGGTGCATTCATGCAGTCAATCTCAATCGTTTCCATTGGGCAAACGTAATAAAGTCAAACCCACGATCACTTGAAATAATTCCTTGGAATTATTCAGATCAAAATAATATGCAGCTGGTACCGACTGAAACTGCAGGAATGTGTCCTTTAAGGCAATAAAGCCAAGTACACACATTTTTTTGAAGGGGCGCCATCGAATGACTTCTCCCACCTAGGTGAGGCGAGAGGGTGTATTAGACTCTTACTGACTAAAAAGGCTCCGTATCGGCGCATCAGCCCTATGGGTCCCATCTGTGGTGGTCTGATGGCTCTTTGAGGCGCGCGCGAGTGTCGACGCGCTAAGGACACACTGAGGTGTCCCAAGACATGTATCGGCGACATGTCGCCTGACATCGCACGTGTCAACGCGCAACTTATGTCCACAGTGACGTTGATGCTGCCAGACATATCGACCAAAGTCTGGCAACATCGCGTTACTTCACCTGACATTTGTCCCCTAGTATATTTGGGTTGGATTTAGTCAAAGTCAAAGTCGAAGCATTTATTTCAATTAAACCATAGTTTGGTACTTTTGAAACGTCAACAAATGCAAAATAAATAATAGTCTGTCAGTCAGTCCGTCAGTGAAACTAGGTGAAGCTAGGTGTTCATTCCAAAATGTAGATTCGAATGGAGAAGAACGAGCAAGAAACTCCATCGGTATCTCACTCATAGTAACCTTTAAAACTTGATCAAATATTTAATTTTTCTTTTTTTGTTGTTTATCCAGTTCCAGGTCTTATGAATATACAATTTAAATACACCAAAAATAATCTTCTTATACAGAACATATGTATTACAATTATTATGTAGGTACTATCTGTACCACAACGAAAGGAGACTATCAGTAAAAAAAATCGTATCTTAATATAATGAAGAGTCGGTTATAACCACAAGAGTCTCATTACACTTGATGGGACGACATTATGTGCTAAACGCGTGTACTGACTGTACACAGAACGACACATGAAGCTAAACAATACCATTATAAACTGACCGTTGAATGTACGGAAAGACCATACAAACCAAGACCATGATAAGCTGGAAATGTATAGTTCGGTTTGTAGCCAAATATATGTATTATATGGCGTGTATATATAGAGGCAGGATATCGGAGCATGGCGCCCGCCCGAGTGATATCGATCGCGCCTCGGATCTTACTGCGCAGCCTCCGTACAGCCTCCCTGTTAAGGCCAAGCCTACACATTGGCGACATGACTAACTTTGTTTCTTGGGTTTGGTCGCAGTTTTCGGAATTTTAATGTGACTTATAAAAATTAAATAGTGCGATTCATTAAAAATTACTAGGTAATCATGGAGTTTCTTTTCCATATGAACCTGACTAAATAAAGGACTGACATGCATTTAACTTAGTTTTTCAAAAGTGTCTTTTGTGTTAAATTGAAATGAGTATTTACTTACTTAAACATTAAGAATTTGTTTTCATCATGGATAAATACAAAGAGTTATTATAATTTTTTGTGAACCTATCTTTTCTAAGACATTAATCATGTGTATACGAATTCTTTAAGTACAATATGGAACTACGATAAGGTCTTGACATGCTTTCAAACACCCGAATATTTAGAACAAATCCAGGTCTTAGCAAAACTCACCATAGCTATGTTATCTAGGTATCAATCTGACATCATTTGTAAAGAAAAACATGTGAATTGTGGCAGTGAAAGATCAGACGGGATCTTCTCGTAAATACCTCGTAATGTACTGAAATTCAGCTGAAAATAGTTAGATTTATTGGTGAAGCAGCATTCAGTGGTTGAGATCCAGATTTGTTTTCATTACGTTTCAAGATGGTGATACGAAAAACGGATTGGTGTTTATTTTGTATCTGGTGAATTTAAGTGTAGGAGTAAGATTAAGGCGACCAAATCGTGTTCCAAAGTCAAAGTCAAAATTTAAACCAAAAAGGACTTTTGAAAGTCAGTCAATCAAAAATAGCACGCCTGGCATCTGGCGTCATTAACGAATAGTTACAAAAGTGTTTTTATGTGAATCAGTGGATATAATAGGATATAATTTTGACTTTCAATAAATAATTAGGCTTGTCTGTCTGTCTGTAGTTCTTTAGTGATTGTTTTATAATTGTATTCCCCTTAACTACCGTCCTGACTTTAATCAGCGCTCCCTTCGCAAAGTGAAGTTGTCGCTCGAAACTAAAGTGAATGTATTAAAATGTTACTCTGTGCATACTCATAGTGGGTGGTGTCGTTGTGATATCTCTTATCAATCAGATAATGGTAAGTACTATTATAATTTTTATTAATCATTCAGATTACAAAGAAATTACTATCTTTTTGTTATTAGTTTTAAATTCGTTGGGTGACATTCTGAGATACGTCCTACCTAATTTTTTTTTTGTCGTTTAATTATAGGGTTGCTAATTTAGTGTTGAGAATATTATGCGTTGTATTTTTAAGGGATTAAAACTAAAGAGATATGAGACGCAACAAAGGCTTTTGACAGCTTCTCTGTGAAGCTGTTGAAGAAAATGTTAGTTTAAAAATATATCTGTGTGCACATTAGTTTATTAATTAGTATAAAATCTTATTGCGCCATTTCTATATAATTTTAGGTACATTTTACAAAGATTTTGACTGTCAAATGAGTCTTTAAATGCATTCAGAATTGCGTCTTTTTATTATATCAATATACTATGATTGTAGTTCCATTATGGAATGATATTGTTACAAAATTGTCCCTTAAACCTATGGGAAATAGTGCTAAAGATTATACCTAGCTATATCCAGGTGACCTGTACAAAATCCAATACCTAGGCGTGGTATTTATATAGGTCAATTAAACGGACCCAGCTTAGATGGAACGATCTATTACAAATAGGTCAAAATTATTTAAAAATAAGAAAAAGATGATCCTATTTTGAACAGAGAATAATAATAATATAATTTCTGGAATCTCGTAATGTCAACCCATTGAAATACTGAAACTAAGGTCTTGCTTAAAGGTAGGTAATGACCTAAGGGTTACCTAAAGGTTACCAAAGCTACAAAATTATAAATGATGTTATTATTCTTCATCGATAAACTCTACAAGGCTTTACAACTATGCACTTTACCTAATAGATATTAAGACTAATTTCACATTTCTGTTATACATTATTTAATGGCTTATTTAAACTAATTTACACGTTTTAATTAACATTAATACGTATTTTCTTACTTGTATGTACAACGAACATTTTTATTTACTTTCCAGCTTAACTGACTGGGAAAACAGAAAACTAATAAGGTATCTATACTATCTATTTACTATATACCTCTATATATATTTAAACCATATATACATAACAATTTATTATATGTAGATATATATCATACACAGAACATAATCACCTGTTCCACCACCTTCATAAGTACCTGATAAAGTTGTGTTTTTTATATATATTTGATGGGTCGACGTTGGTAAGCGATGATGCGGTCTACGATGGATTACGTGGCCCCATAAGCGACCTTCACTCTGGCTTTGAAGACACTCAGGGTTATATCCTTCAGGAAATACAGAGTCGAGCAAACTATTCCACTCGTTAGCAGTGGCAGTCAGTGGCGTGGTAACTACAGTGTGGCAAGTCCCCTAGCTGGACGGCGGATGAATTTCCTACAGACCCCGAACGTTATAGTTACGCCACTGGTAGCAGCTAGTTCATACAAATTACTTTCAATATTCTTTTTCTGATACATAGTGGTCCTTAGGCTGCCTTAGGTCTGTTTCACAATAACTGATTGCTATTTTTTTTTGTCTATGAGTTAGGGTAGATTTTTTATTTCTTTTCCATATGAAAGGAATGTCTGGAAATGGACGAAACATCTGTCAGTTAAGGTAACAGTATTTTATAATTACACAATAAATTCAACGGGGAGAGCGTGGGGAGAGCCATGCTTCGGCACGGATGGGCCGGCTCGACCGGAGTGATATCACGGCCGAGCAGAAAACAGACGTGAAACAACGCGTGCGTTGTGTTTCGTCATGTGAATGAGGTTACTGGAAGCCCAATCTCTCTAATCTCTGAATCCCCAACAATCCTCAAATTTCTAATTCCCAAAAGGCCCGTAACGCACTTGTGGTTTCGATGTCCATGGGCGGCACCGATTGCTTACGGCTTATAGGTGAACCGCCTTCTCGTTTACCGGCTTATTTCATAAAAAATATAATAATATTATGAAACAAGGCCTTAAGTAGTAGGTAATTGCAGTACAAATTATTTTAATTATTAGAAACAGAATCACGCTATGTTTTTAATTGGTCTAGCTTTGTGAAACTAGTGCTCAATACAATAATTAATGGCATTGAAATGTACCATTCATAAATTCATTCTAAACAATGGTGCTGATCTAATTGAAAACATCATACTAAAATGATATTGTAGTAACACCAGTCATGATTTCATATTCATTGTTTAGTCCGTAACCTGATACAATGCCTTGCATAATGCTTAGAAAGATATTACGATAGCTATGTATCATTATTGAGAGTAACTCTTAGATCCACGACTTTGCTCGCGTGGTCAAAGGCAGCTTATATCTTTATACCTTCTGCCAGCGGCGTCGCTCGCGTTCCCGTGTGACGAAAACTGGCCTATGTTATTCCAGACAGATATCTACCCTTGACCCAAATTTCATCTTGATCCCTGCAGCCGTTTTGACGTCAAGAAGTAACAAACAGACTAACATACTAACTTTCCCATTTATATTATTAAGTAAGATCAGTCTCCACCGTCCTAACCATCTCGACACAAAAATCATACTGTACATGTGTGAAAGAAAGACAAACGAACAAACATATTTAACAAAGAAATAAACAAAGTAAGAAAGATTTTGCCGATCCTAAATAACTTGGAATAAGGGCAGAAAGGAGAATAAAAATAAGTAGATATTTTTAAACCCACACATTTTAAAAATAGTTTATCATTCTCATCATTATTATGTCTTACACACATGCGCACATAATTATATTATGTGTGTTAGCCTTATGGGTATGTGTTTTAGCAATTTGTATTCACATTTCAGGCCAGGATGGAGCTCCCAGTTCTAGACAAGTTTTGCTTCGTGTTCGACCTGAAGACAGGATGCATGGTCATGGGGTTAGCCAATACTGTAAGTATGTTTGTTAAGAACTTTCAAGTGTAGGAGAGCCATGCTTTGGCACGAATGAGCCGGCTCGACCGGAGTGATACCACGGCCTCACACGACGTGAAGCAACGCTTGCGTTGTGTTTCGTCGTGTGAGTAAGGTTACCGGAGGCCCAATTACCCTCCCCTTCCCCAATCTCCCCAATTCCTGAATCCCCAAAAGGCCGGTAACGCACTTGTAACGCCTCTGGTGTTCCAGGTGTCCATGGGCGACGCCGATTGCTTACCACCAGGTGATCCGTCTGCTCGTTTACCGGCTTATGCCATAAAAAAAGAGTTTGCTGATTGCGATGACGGCAGAATAGAATTATTTAATTTATATCCACACCCTTATTCTTTAGTAGTCGTAAGAGCTGATTCAGGTACAGGTAACAGAAACAGGGCAGCATCGCTCTCTAATGAACCTGAACCTTTTCAAACTGCTATCTGCAACCTGACCACCAAGCGAGCTCATAGCAAACCCTCTTATGTAGAGCAAGCGTTGTATATCACGGAATCTTGATGATGAGGAGGAGAGCTTCGGAAATGAAGGCTGGATTCTAAATGAGTGTATCTTCTTTAAGCTGTGAGTGACAAGGATATTGGCACAATATAGCCATTGTTTAACCGTTTGATTGCCGGTATACAATAGAAAATCCATTGCCTCGTGTGGGTTCTCATTTTGGTACACGATTGATTAAAGTTAATTGGAATATTTATACATTAATACATACGGGGTGACTTGTAACTCGATGTATTCCTCTCGGGAGGTGATAATATAACTAATTTCCTACAAAATTAGCTCTGAGGTCTCTGGTCCGAAAGTGGCTAATTTCTGAGATAATTTGAACTCAACATTTTCAGTTTTGGTGAAAAATCCCGATCGAACTACAAAAACATCAATAACTAAAAAACCACTGAGTTGATTTAAGTGATTTTAGTATTAATTTGTTGTCAATACATCAATTCACATTTATTAATACCAATACAGGCAGAAATATCATTTTTTTTAAATAGCAAGTAAATTAGTATCAAATTTTCTTTTGAATCGATAATTTGGTCAATACAATCCCCCCGATCACCGAATCCCCAATAATCCTCAAATTCCTAATCCCCAAAAGGCCGGTAACATACTTGTATCATATTTGGTGTTTCGGGTGTCCATGGGCGACGCCGATTGCTTACCATCAGGTGATCCGTCTGCTCGGTTACCGGTTTATTCCATAAAAAATACAAACAAAACATTATTTAAGTTTATACTTATGTTTACTTTTTAACTACATAATCAGATCAATACCCCCTTATCAAAGGTAATACAATAAAGTAATACAGTAAACATCTAGTACGAAAATCAATCATAATATAAATTGAATTAAGTTGATTATCAAATTGATTACGGTATTTGCAGTGTACGTGAAAAGTCGACACAACGTTTTGTGTTCCAAATATGTTGATGAGATTAGAATGAATTACGTATTCATACTTACTTACCTATATAGGAATATACCTAGATCTAGAAATTACTAGATCCAGCAAGGGGTTACGGGTTTGATTACCGGTTGTTGACTATTCTTAGTATACCTATACATAACATCACGTCTTTTATCCCTGAAGGGGTAGGCAGAGGTGCACATTAATTATACCAATGTACAATGTAACATCCACTTTTCACTATTTATATTATGAGTCCCATGTAATAGGGAGTGAGCCTCTTGCCATATACCGGGCACAATTCCAGACTCCGTGCTACTACTGAGAATATTTAAAAACCCAGTAAGACTATGCCCCACACGGGAATCGAACCCGAGACCCCTTGCCGTTACGGCAGTCGCACTTGCGACCACTCGGCTAAAGAGGCAGTCTTATTATATACTTAAAATCTTAGTATATACTTAGCACACAATTGGCCGTGATTAGTGGGAATACTGAAGATTGAGCTAATTTGTGGTCGTTGTACGGCAATGGACTGACTTAAATCATCATCATCATCATCAACAGCCTATAAATGCCCACTGCTGAGCAAAGCCTTTTCTTACACGGAGAAGGTTTGAGCATTAATCACCACGCTTGCTCAATGCGGGTTTGCGATTACAAACTTATAATTAGAAATTATAAGCCCAGGTTTCCTCACGATGTTTTCCTTCACCGTTTGTTAGTGGTGTCCAAATAATCTTAGAAAGTAAAAGTACATATAACTCGGAAAAAGTCATATTGGTATTTTGTCGTTGGTTGGTTTCGAACATACACCCTCATGCATGAGAAGCGGGCGTCTTATACCTCCGGGCATTTATTTATATGCAATGCATAACATTTATTTAAATGTATTTTCATATTTAGCGACTAAAGTTTCTAGTTATACTATGACAAGACTTACTTACTAGTCGTGTCAAGCACCGTCAATGTGAACGAATGAAAAAATAATATAATTAAATAATACAACTGCCTCGTTGACCGAGTGGTCGTAGTCGTAAGTATGACTCCCAGGCAAGGGGTCTCGGGTTTTTGATTCCCGGATCGGGCAAAGTATTACTGTTTTTTTTTAATTATCAGTAGTCGCACGGAGTCTGAAATTGTGCCCGGTATATGGCAATAGGCTCACCCCCTATCACATGGGACTCATAACAAATAGTGAAAAGTGGGTGTTAGATTGTACAGTGGCATTAAGTGCCGTAATAAGCACCTGCCTACCCCTTCGGGGATAAAAGGCGTGATGTTATGATGTAATGTATATCACTATACACCGTCTCAACTAACTTTTTATTATACAAAAAGCAGATAGTAAAGTTTCTCGTTCATGACGAGATAGAAAAACGAACACACTTCTGAATTTAAATAATTAAGCAAGGATTGACTGAACCCTTCCTGCCTTCCAGATCATAACCTTCGTCTTGACGCTGCTCCTCATCACGTTTGCGGTGAACATCAAGGACATATCGGAGGCGCAGATGAAGAGGGACGATATAGAGTATGCCATGTCTTCCGTGGTGTACACCATCGTGGTCCTCCTCATCGTCCTGCTCGTGGTCAAGTTCCTTTTGGACGTGGTCTTCGTGTACGCGGTTTATAAGGTAAGGGCTCTGACCTGGCTGGCCAGTATTGCTAACTGGTTTACTAGCAAATCTATAAGGGACTTATGAGAAAATACTAAAACAATAACATTATGCTCTAACTAAAGCTAACATTCGGAGCTGCAGGCAACCTATCTGCTTACCGGGGGTCCGGTGCAAATCAGAAGTAGGAACGGGGTGGTTTTTAGTCAGTAAGAGTCTAACACTCCCTCTCGCCTCACCCAAGGCGGGAGAAGTGGTTGGATGATTTTCTCCCCCTTAAAATAAAAACTAAAGTTTACAAAACCGCTAGTTTTATATTTGTATGAAGTATTTTTGACCTAAATAGTCTGAGGACTTTTTCTGCGATTTCCATTAAACCACAATTTGATACTTTTGAAACGTCAACAAATACAAAATAAATAATAGTCTGTCAGTCAGTCCGTCAGTGAACCTAGGTGAAGCTAGGTGCTCATTCCAAAATGTAGATTCGAATGGAGAAGACGAGCAAGAAACTCCATAGAAGAATAGAACAGTCATGGAAGAAAAAAATAGTTGATTATAATTTCAATAACACGTCAGTCCTGCTAAGTTGTAAATATTTTATCAATAATCCCATATAAAAGCTACCTGAGGTATTCCTAGGTGACAGGCAACATGACAAAATTAATGTTTAACTTTTGTTTGATTTCAGGAAAAATGCAGCCTCCTGAAGAAATACTGCATCTTCTGGATCATATTCCTGGTCCTGTACATCATTGGTTTCTTGAAGACCCTGTTCCACATGGACGCTGGCCACGTTATCTCGCAGATAATATTTATAGGTAAGTTGAAGGAAGCTACCAGTAAAAGTATATCCACATTCTCTATATATTCACAAAATATATGTTTTGGAATGTGAAAATATTTTTTGCTATGCGCTATGCTATGTTGTATGTGTCATAGTATTATGACCAGTGATCGGGAAAAGGTGAGCTAATTTACCTAAACTTCAAGGAACAAAAACAAAAAGTGGAGACCGCAACCGGTTTCTAAAGAAACCGCAACTTTTGTCACGATTTTAGGTTTTTGTTAATTTTGGTGTTGAATAATTTTATTTTATGCTCTTTCTTACATCTTAAAATATTTATTGTTGAAAACAATAAAAGTTTTAATTTTGTTTCATCATCATCATCATCAACAGCCTATAAATGTCCACTGCTGAGCAAAGCCTCTTCTCACACAGAGAAGGTTAGAGCATAAATCACCACGCTTGCTCAATGCGGGTTGGCGATTTCAAACTTATAATTAGAAATTATAAGTCTAGGTTTCCTCACGATGTTTTTCCTTCACCGTTTGTCAGTGGTATCTAAATAATCTTAGAAAGTACATATAACTCGGAAAAAGTCACATTGGTACTTGCCGTTGGTAGGTTTCGAACCCGCACCCTCATGCATGAGAAGCGGGCGTCTTAAACCTCCGGGCCACCACGACTTTTTACTTTTACTTTTTAATTTTGTTTGGTTTTGTGTTAAATTTAAGAAATAAAATCACGAAACGAAATCAATTGTTTTCTGTATTAATAACAATTATATTAAATGTAATATATAAATATACCGAAACTGGAACCGGAACTTTCCCGAAAAAAAAAATGATTATGACACATAATTCAAAAATTCAAAACTAGCTTCTGCCGGCGACTTCGTACGCGGAATCCCGTTTTCTCACGATCCCAAAAGATTTTCAGGATTTTTTTCTATCAAAAGAACCTTCCTCTGACAGTAGCAAAGACAACAAAAAAAAACCGGCCAAATCGGCCATTCTCAAGTTATGGCGTGACGACGGGAAACGGGTTTGATTTTTATATATATAGACTAGCGACCCGCCCCGGCTTTGTACGGGTGCAATATGCATGTATTATACATATAAACCTTCCTTAAGAATCACTCTATCTATTAAAAAAAACTACATCAAAATCCGTCGCGTAGTTTTAAAGATCTAAGCATACATAGGGACAGACAGACAGCGGGTAGCGACTTTGTTTTATACTATGTAATGATTAATTAATAATGGTTGAGACCAAAGTTCTGGGTTTAATTTAATTACAATATAATGATAATTGTTGAGTAGGTACCTATGAACATCTGTAAAAGGTTTATTATTCTTCCTGGACAAATATCTTCTCAATTCAGAGAGGCGTTCATATTTACGAAAATGTAATTTACTAAAGTACTGAAAAAATAATTGAAAAGTTTCCCTCTTTTAATTTTTCAGCTGAAAACTTCTACTTCATCGTGGTGACTAGGAGCTATTTGATATCAATAAACGAAGACGGTGTCCTGTAAATAGTTCCTTTTATTATTAACAATTTTCAAACACATACGTCTCTGTACTACCCAAAATAAAAAAAAAACAACCCAGAAGAAAGAATTCCAAAAATCACAATTTGAAAAATATAGTATTTTTATTTATTTATCAAAAATAATTATATACGTAAAGAGATTCATGTAACTTACCTTACTGATTTTGTAAGGTTTGAATAGATTTTTAGAAAAAATATCGTTTAAAAATATATGTAACCGAGTTTAGCAAATTGTACCGATAGATGGCGATCTAACGCATAGGAAATCAATGTGTAAACTTGTATCGAATAGATTGTTGATATATATACCTCTAGATAGAATTATACATATCAAGGATTATCTTTCTCTCTCCGTATTTTTGTTTATAAAAATTGCAATTCAAAAGTCAAAATTAATTACTCAGAGGATAGAAGAAAGTAAGAAGGAATGCAAGGATTATGAAATAACATCTGAATATTTATTATGAACGAAAGGAAACAAAGTTAACGGACCAAAGTATACAGAAGTTCTGTATTATCATCATCACCTTCAACAATTTATATTATATATATATATTTTACTTTATAAATATATTGCAATAAATGATGATATAAGACGTGTCAACAAAAACTGGATCGAAATGACTCAATGTTGTTTTTGTGTAATGAAAAATTGTTATGCCGTGAATTGTTAAGTTACATGTTGCTATTTAATGTTGTTTGTATACTTTGTTAAACGTTTGTATAAAACTCATAATGAATTATTTATAATTATATTTGTTTATGCATAAAGAACTACTGTTCAAATAAAATGTAAAGACGTATACAGCGCTCCTAGTTAAAAAATTAAATGAATAATTTTATGCATTACCAAATACTTATACCTAATCAAATATTCCTAAATAATTCGTCCCAATCTAATTGAATGTTTTTACCTATTTATATAATTTTGTAAGTGAAATAAAACAGTTGTATCGATTTAATTTTGGATTGTGAGTTTATACATCATAAAGTACTTATATATTTCGTGTTATATAATTATTATATATTTATAGTTTATTCTGGTTGTGATGAACTTCCGCTAAATCGTTTTTATGTGTATACTGGAATTGTATAAATGTATAGTAAAACGTTGTTTTATATCATTTTGATATGAAGATTTGTCTTCCATTTAGTAGATTTAAGTGATCTTCATTTGTTGTGAAGTTTGGGATTATATTATGTGTTAAGGCTTGATTCGGTTGTTGGCGAGAACTTTTTAATAATATATTATATTCGTATGTATAGGCGTTCATTGTCTTGATATCGTACCTATTGATTACATTTATACAAATATTTTTTAATCTATAAAAATTTGGGCCTGCATTTTTATATATATAAGAGCAAAATAAAGTTCAACATGTCCAATCTCGCCAACAACCGACTTACGATGTTCGTATATAAATTTCCTTCAAATATAAACTGTATAGGACTTGAATAGCTCTCAATTTCCTAAAACACATTATTATGTGTATAATATTTTATACCGCGGTCAAAATACTTAATATAACATATTTTACAACACCTTTCGAATGATTTATTATTTAAAGAAGTTTCTTCATTAACATAAACTATAATTTTTGGAACCATATTTAACTTGAATATTATTACTTTTTATTGAAATTTTGAATAACAACTGAGATTCATATATTATACGTATACTCTATTTATAAATCTACTCAAAATATATTTGATATAATTTACGTAATTTGGACATATATTACGGGAATAGGGTTTCGATGAAAATGGAGCTTATCAATTTTATATTGCACGTAAAAACATATATATGCGTATCATTGCACTTTAAAGTTGTATTTATTTTAAGAAAGGGCGTTCAACTACAGGTTACGGTCTCGAGAGATTGAAACAATAATTAAATATCGAAGCTATATCAGAGGGTCACCGGTTACAGCAAAATTGATAGTAAACCGAAACTAATCTGACCTTAAAGTGTATTGTTTTATCTCATATAGTGACGATCAATAATAAGTTAGAGTCCCACGCCGATATTATTATCTAAGTACATATAAGTGGGATCCTGGAAAAATAAAAAAGACAATATATTGCTGACAACTAGCATCAATATTGTTACTAGCTAAGCTAATCTATTTTTTTATATATTTAATGGCCGATGTTTGACCACTATCCCATCTTGGCAAGCGATTAACTCGTCGAGTACCGGTTTTATAGACACAATTAAAGAAGGTCGCGGTCACCGGTGACCGCTTGGTGTTGGACAGTTTAAATTAAATGAAATATATAAATTAAATCTATTGATCTAAACTAAAGTTGATCTGCGACCTGGTAATCACAAATGTCTCTGTATGTGAGATCCGGCTCTGAAAGAGTCTAATTATTTCAATAACTTATGTATCCGAATCGTCCTTAAGATAAAACTTTATAAACGTGTTTATTAACAAATTAAATACACAGGTGACCCTTTGAAATTATCTCGAGACCACACAAATAATTTAAAAATATATCTGTATCATTATCTATTGTTTTCATTTTAATATATACAATTTATATATTGGTGTATATTATATATGTATTTAAACAACGATTTTTAATCTCTCTGTGTGGGTCCCCTTATGTGTAATAATAGGTTAGTGGGCGATCCAATATATTGGTGTAATTATTAGCTGTGATTGTTCTAGAGTCCATGAACGGCGTGATTATAAATGATGGGAACATGTTCATTGGTTGTTAACATACTCTGCAGTGTTGTAATATACAATACGTAATATGCAGAAGTATGTACAGGATGAAATTTAAACAATTTTCAGATTATAACTCAGGTATGTGACAGATTAACTGATGACTGCCTCGTTGGCCGAGTGGCAATTCCAATCTGCTTGGATTTGATGCAATATCAGACTTTTAAAACATATCTATAAAATATATGTGTAATGAATATTTAATTAACATCAAATTTGTTTCATGGCCTGAGTCAATACGAAATAGCATTCGTAAATAAATTTACATCCTGTACATATCACGAAAACCACATTTCAAGAAAAATACGTTATATATATATAAAATACCATATCATTTATTGTATTTTAAATACAATAAAATACAGGAACAATGAATATCAAGTTTTTTAATTAAAATTATATCATTCGACTGACCATTTGAAGTACTGAGTTTAAAAATGTGACTATAATAATCTGATTTCATGGAATATTACCCAAATATTGCTTAGATCTGTATAAATTAGATAAATGGATGTGTATTAAATGTGTGTAGGTACCAAATAAACTAAATAACGACAATAATACGTCCTTCGCTTTAATTAGCTAATAGAATATTGTATTCCTGTCTGTACCTGTCCACTGTTGGGAAGCAAATAGATGTATACAGTTCTTATATATGTTATATATATATATAATGTATACAAGTATTTAATTTTTATAGTGACTTATTTTTTTCTACCATATGATATCAAAATGTTCTTATTTTGGCTATTATATTATAATTTTAGCAAATTTGGAAATTGTTCTTACGTACACAATTACGTTAAATTAAAATGATTAAGTATGATGATTTTGGATTTATGTATTTAAAAAGATTTTTGCGCTATATACATATACTTAATTTAAAATCTATTTGCTTCACCTAAAATCTAAAAATATGAGAATCCCCTGAACATTGGTCATTATTAACTAAAAATCGAGGGTTACTTACGTGAAAATATTGAGAAAGGGTAGATTGCGCGACATCGCCGTTACCGCACACGCTGTCCATAAGGAAGAGCCCGGACCCTCTGTGGCTCTGAACTAGTAGAGCTTTTCTCAGTATTTTCACGTGAGTAACCCGTGATTTATAGTTAATTTAATATGTCTTACGATAGTCATTATAAAAATTGGTGATTATTTTTAGTAAACTGTCAGTCATACAGAATTGAGGAGTATATGTAAAAGGGTTTTCTTATATTTTATACTAAATCTTTATAATATTTACCTACATATTGTAACTTGTACTTCCCCTTTACAGTGTACTCTAATTATTTGTTAGAAACATTTTATAATAAATGTATATTATTATTGTATAGTGTGGGCTTATTCATATTGGACCTAATTAATAATTATTTACAATGTTGAATTCTTAATTGTATTTGATAATAGGATGGACCTGCTGGTTAAATAGAAATAATTTTAGTAAATGTGTTTATATATACGATATATAATATGTATTGTATTACTAACTGTGTATAACTGCAAGGTTAGTGCGGTGGCTGGGTAATTGGCTGCCGCTCAACATGCCGCGGGTTCGATTCCCGCACGATTTCCAGGTCTGGGTGTCATGTGTATCTGAACTTGTACGTTTGTAAACGCAACCACGACACAGGAGACAAGCCTAGTATGGAGCAACGTTTTTTTAAAAATAAAAAACTACAAAATACAAGAGCATTGAACTCTACGGTAACTTTAAAAATACAACATTGTCGTGGTAGATTGTGTCTATTTGTTTCTACTTTCATTATTATTTACTTCATTATATTATGATTCTTGTATACATGTTAAAATTATTATATTTAAACTCACTAGAATATCCTGAATGTTTTAGAAATTCATAAATAGGAGCCCATTTCTGTCTGATATGAAGAGGCCCACATGTTTAATGTTTGCACAACTATTGATCAATTATAAACGCTTTAAATGTTGTAACAATTATTTACAATGTGGATTGAATTTAATTTTATAGAAAATTTTGATGTTTGTGATCGTTGTACAACGCTTTGTTAAATGCATTGAGTATTTAAAAATAAATGAGAAGTTATAGCTATGTTGAGTTTGTATTTATTTATTTTCCTCTTGTACTGTGTATGTGTAAGTGATCGTATAGTACCTCTATATATAAAATACGTTTAGACAATCGCATTATATTACACAAATTACCTTACTGACGTAAAAAGTTAAGATATATATATATAAAGACACAAACGCACTACGTAATATAAATTACCTTATTCACATAAAAATAACAGATTAACGTCTTTCGCATCGTGTTGGTAGTAAGTTATTTTTCTCGAAATAAAACAACAAAACCATAGCAAACAGTTTCTTCTTTATTTTGTACATCTTTTATACTTTTGATCTCACAATAAGGCTGCCTTAGTTACTATGATGAATAGTCAATATTATTATAAAATTAAGCGTTTCATATTCAACTTACATTCAGTTGAAACTAAAATAAAACTATTTAATAAAACTCTTGGTATAAGCACTTTAATATATATAAAACTTCACCCTTCTTTAGATCAAAAAATAAGTAATAAGAAAAAAAAGAATTATCACGTCTAATACAAAGTCTTTCAACTATCCCACAAAACTCACTGATTACGTTCTAACACCAAATGATAATAAATACACAAAGAAACGTAGCTGTTGAATAATAATATATGTACAGTTGCACTGACAATTTTCTCATTTTAACAACAAAGTATATATCATATAATACAACATCGAAGGCACATAGCTTTCTTTATATTATATTTATATAAGTTTAAGACTATAACTCTTATAAGTACATCATAGAAATTATACTTAAAATACTCAAAACATAAATTAAAACTTTTCATACACATTACCAGCCTCCACAATCTAGATTTGGCTAAGGAGCTCTAAGTAAAAATGGAAATCTCAATATATGGGATTACTTAGTAAAATTGTGGGAGAGCCATGCTTGGGCACGAATGGGCGGGCTCGACTGGAGTGATACCACGGCCTCACAGAAAATCAACGTGAAACAACGCTTGCGTTGTGTTTCGTCGTATGTCGTACCCAATCTTCCCAATCCCGGTATCTCTATATGGCCGGTAACACACTTGTAACGCCTGTGGTGTACCAAGTGTCTATGGGCGACACTGATTGCTTACCATCAGGTGATCCGTCCGCTTACTTACCGGCTTAAAAAAATTGTGTCAAAATCACCAATTTCAAATTCCTAACAGCTTAAAGATTAGCAACGTACTGCCCAACGAAGACAGTGACCACGACCCTCAGAAATAATCAATGAGGATGAGACGTAAGAGGGGAATCCTAATAACAAACTAATAGCACTATAAATAAACATTAAATATTCCAACAATATGTATTTGCTTATGTCTTATGTGCCATAAATATCATAACTTATGTTCTTTGGTTTTTCCATGAGGAATAATTACAATCAATCTCTATAAATTTATTTTTTACATAATTAAAATATATACTTATTAATACTATGAATATAAATATAACTGTATCTTTTTCCTGGTTTAAAAACGTCATCGATTCTGCGATATATATATTATACAGGGTGTGAACGTTTCCGAAAATGCAGATAAAAAATTATATAAGGCATTTTAATTTTTTTACTTTTTAGAAAATTAAATTAGATTTTTTCCATATCTATTATATACCCATATACTAATGAACAACTAAACCGATTTCACTAATAATTTTTTTTATGTTGTTAATGTCAGGTAAAACCGATTTTCCTACAAAAAAACTTGGAAAATTCACTAGGAAAATCCTTTGTAGGTAGCTATATACCTACATGAGTAGAGTGAGTGGTACTTGGGTAAAGCCAGGACGGATTGCTAGCTTGTCATAAACTGTTATTTAGGTACCTATTTGTTAGGAAAAGTACTTACAAAAGAAAAACTTGGAAAATTCACGAGGAAAATTGTAATGTATTATAGTGCTAATTGCCCTAAGGTAATTCTGGGACGAATTAGACATTTATGACAAGGATTGGCCGCAAAAACCTTTACATAGAGAGGAGTGGAAGGAGGGTAGGGAGGCCTTTGCCCTGCAGTGGGACGATGATAGCTGAAATAAATAAATAAATAAAATTCCGGGATGGCTCGATAGTCTTCAAAGTTTTAAAGAGCACTCTCTATGTCAATATATTGATGTCAAAATAGTTTTACGTGCTCGCCTGGTCCAGGTATCTATTTTAAGCTAGCATTGCTAGACACCACTGATTGACTGATTGACTGCCTCGGGTTCGATTCGGTCGAGCAAAGTATTAGCTCAGCTCAGTAGTAGCACGGAGTCTGGACATGTGCCCGGTATATGGCAATAGGCTCACCCCCTATTACATGGGACTCATAACATAAATAGTGAACAAGTGGGTGTTACATTGTATAGTGGCATTAAGTGTCGTAATGTGCGCCTCTGCCTACCCCTTCGGGGATAAAAGGCGTGATGTTATGTTATGTTGTGCTAGACACCAATAAAAATATTTTTTAATATTTCTGTAACTGTTGTCTGTATGAATTATCTAACACATCAACCTATATTTTTCAAGTTAACGTTAGTAAAGAGAACAAAATAATATCTACAACTCTTTAATATTTTATAGCAGTTGTTTCGTTACAAACGTTTTAGAAATAAGTTTCGGCTGATACGAATCAAAGATAGCTAGGGAAATAGCTTTACGATCATTTGGCATGCAAACATAAGTAAACTAGACTTTAGTACCGGATTAGTGAAAGCTCCGTACCTACTAGGTCATAGGCTGGTTTTCCAACTTTCATCAAGATTTCTACGGAAAAAGGGGAGTTTGAGACTGAGGTAACATGTATATATATATACTAGCAGACCCAACAGACGTTGTCCTGCATATCCACTTGAATGTATAAACAAAAATTACTTCAAATTAGTTCAACCGTTTAGGATAAATAACCTAATCAACGATTGCAGCGCCATCTGCCGGCTAATTTGTGAATCTAAATCATCTAGGGCGCCACACAAACGCGTATAGAAAAATTCATTTACATCGGTCAAGCCGTTTAGGAGGAGTTCAATGACAAACACACGTACAGAAGAATTATATATATAAAGATATAGTATATTATTCTTATAAGTATGTGTTATATACTTAAATACTTACACATATATTCATTTCAGGAACATTACACCCAATATAAAAAAGTTTGTTAAGGTACCGTGCTGCAAAAATTGGACTAGGTACATACTCGGTCACCTTCCAAAATAGCACGGAACCCATGATTAATAAATCTGGCTCTCAATCAGCCAGTTTTAAAATATTCATGACTACAATCTTTCCATGACCGTACTCGACATTTCACTTAAAAATAATCACACAACATAATTATTATTGCAAAGTAGTTATTTACTTTATGAAATTTATTACGATGGTAATTGAAAAAAGTAGCAGTTGGTTTAAGATGTTCCTGATTGACAGAGATTAAAAATTATTACTATATATATTTATTATTTATATATTTACTTTAATATTGTATACATAATTATTGTTATATGTATAAGTTTTCAAATATACCTATATGTATAATGTTTATTGAATATTATGATTGTGAGATTTGTTATTTATTTCACTGGTACATTGCCTATTTATAAAGGTTTAAATCACCTGCTACTTTCATCTCTGCACTGCTTAAAGGTTGACTGGGAGACAATGCCTAAGGCATTAAGTCCACCTGTACACACTTGTTGTATGAAGTTGAAATAAATAAAAACTGTGCAGCAATTTTTGAGTAACTTCGCAACATATCGATATACACAGTTAGCATTTATTGTTTGTGAGGTACCTACTCAGTACGGCCAGAAGACAGAAACCAGCACATCAATCTGATAAACTGCAATAAATTATCGAATTTATTACAAAACTATAAAGTTGTTTATGTATAAAAAAACTATTGAAAAATTAGTATAGTTTAATGTATGTACTGCCATCTGTTCTTGATATAAAGTAGTCAACTAATAAAGTGGGTAATCCAGCCATTTTTTTCATATGGGAATGGCACTCTCTCCATAAGTCATCTTCATGATCCTGTAGAGGCTGTTGATCATCGCCAGGTAATATATGGAGTACACTGGAAAAGAAAAATAGTATATAAAAGAGCTTAAAGATACACATGATAACCTGATGTTCATTCCCTAAACCCAAAAAACCGAGAGTGCTCTTAAACCGTCTCTAACATCGTATATATCTACAGGTGGCGCTGACTACATATCTGGTAAACTCATTGGTACATACGTCTAGCTCTTATTCTATAAAATATTCGACAAATTCACCAACTGGGTATAATAATGGAACTTAGAGGTAGTATAAATACTGCCTCGTTGGCCGAGTGGTCGCAAGTGTGACTGCCGGCAAGGGGTCTCGGGTACAATTCCCGGAAAGTATTATTGGGCCTTTAAAAAATTCTCAGTAGTAGCAGGAGTCTGGAATTGTAGCCGGTATATGGCAATAGGCTCATCCCTATTACATGGGACTCATAACATAAATAGTGAAAAGTGGGTGTTACATTGTACAGTGCCGTTAAGTGTCGTATTGTGCATCTATGCCTATTACTTCGGGGATGAAAGGCGTGAAGTTATGATATCTTAAAAGTTATCCGTGATGACTATACTTACTAGCTCCAGCTATCAACAGCAACACAACCAACACTATGTGACCTGGCACCCTGAGGAAGTCATCCAGCCTGAAGAGGCAGGTCACGATGGCCACCAGGAATATGCAGAATATGAATACTGAGTTGAACACCAGCGACCACTGCAGCTTGGATGGATGTTTCTGGAAACACAGAATTAAATGACGGCATGGGTTGGACAACCAGCTGCCCCGAACGTGGCACTGATTCGATATCCACACGGAGCAACTCTTTATGTGATCTACAAATTGTTGGGTGTCATGTGTATTTGAACTTGTATGTTTGTAAAACTGACGCCACAGGAGAAAATCCCAGTGTGGGGCAACGTTTATTAAAAATATGGCTGACAGACTCCTATCAGTGATTTTGCTAATGTAATTTTAAACACTGTTATCTATCTGAGCCTTTTGCTCAGATTTGTTGTGTAGTTTTCGGGTGGAAAAGTTATAAATATGCATAATTATATCTGTATATTTATACTAAAGGAAAATTTATCTGTATAGATTTTAGCATTGGTATAAGTCTTTCTTTGTCATAGTGTCGTATAACTTCGCGTGGTGACGGCAGAGTCACCATTCCCACTCATCCAGCTGGTGTCGTAAGAATGGATTAAAGGCCAAAATTATAATAACTATAACCTGTCTTGTTGTATGGAGGTATTGGCAACAATTTATCTGAACCCACAGATTTTGGATTGATGTAAGTTACCAATTTTGGCCGTAAGAGACTAAACTGAAGACTTGTATCTTTTTAACAACATCTTAAAGCCACAGGTGTGAAAATTAAGAAGAAAAGGAATTCTTTTTAAAATGCTGTTGTCCATAGACTATCACGAGCTGTTGATTGAATTACTTACCAATATAATACCGAACAGGGCTATGAGGTTGCTGATGGCTGACAGGGTGGAGAACATCACCATGCTCATGGAGATAAGGTTGTCTTCTGGCTCCCTCTCTCTGTGGCGAGGTAAGTTCCATGCTCCCGCCGTGATGTTAGCCGCGCACGCCATCTGAAGACACGTAGTCATGGGTAGTAAGCACAACATAATGAAAGGTATGAACAATATTATTCTACGTAAGAACCCTTATCTCAAAATCAACTGAACCCAGCCTTCAAGTTAGTAGCTGGCAAGAAGTGACTATAAATCGTGACAAGGAAAAGTGAATGAGCCTTTATGCATTTTAGCATTTGTAGGTATATACGCTTTTAGCGAAGACAATACATTTCAAAACTAACATTCCACTTTTCGCCAGTGGTCCGATTTGAAAAATTATTTCTGTGTTGGATAGCCCATTTATCGAGGAAGGCTATAGGCTATAAAATATCACGCTACGATTAATAGGCGCCGAGCAGAGCGAGTGAAACCGCGCGGAAGTAGCTAGTACGCTTGATAAAGTTTACAATGGAATATTCCAGCAATAACACAAAGATTCTTAGTCAAAAAGACTGAAGCCCATGTCGTCGTAACCATTAATCGAACACTTACGAAACTAAAGATCTCAATAACATCTTGCGACGAAACGAGATCTGATTATTTAATGATTTGTTTAAATTTATCAAAGATAAAAAATTATAGGTACATCTATAAACTTCAGCTAGTAGAAACATAGTAGTGTGAATGATCAACAAGGGTTATTGAACCGATTAACCTATATTTGTAAATAAACTGAATGTAGGTAAGTGAGTTTTACGAGTATATGAGTCCTTAATTAAATCCCGCAGTCAGATTCCATTTTGTTGAGATCATAACATAATTCTCAATGTAACTTCGAATAAATTTGTAATTGTGTTGGAAGCTTGCAAGCGTGATTAAATAACAGTGACTACTCTTGTCCTTAGAGGATTTTCAACTGAATCTGAACCACACTGATACTTTGGTTCACGGTAGTAGAAATATGAAAATGAAATCCTACCAGCTGAAATCGTGACTGTAATCAAAACTAAAACGATTCGCTGGCGCAGATAGTACGCTGTGTAGAGAATTACGTGATTTTTTATAAATAAATTAACTAAAATCGCGGGTTACTCACGTGAATATACTGAGAAAACCTCTACTAGTTTCGAACTACAGAGGGATTCTTCCTCATGAGCAGCGTGCGCGGTCGCGGCGAAGTCGCGCAGGTCATTATAAAAACAAATTTCATACATATTTTTTTCTTTTAAACTAATATTTAAAGATCTTGCAATTTAACGAATTTTCTGCACTCTGTGTTAATGCTTTGTCGAGTTCCGTATCAAACTTATAACACAATTTTAATCAGTAGATCGTATTAATTATACAAGTCAGTAACAACATATTATATATCTATGCTTTTGTTCCATATCTGTAGGTAACTTAATACGTGATGAGCATTTAGCAATGACATCGCAATGTTGATAAATCAATGAATCATGTATTGTGTGCGTAACAAACAGAAAAATTCATTGTCCCTATATACATGTAAATACTTTGTTTTTAAAATGAATATTTATATAATTATGTATGATGCAGTTTAAAGTGCAAACGGGATTGCAGAATGAACATGTACGGTTTTCCCACTTTATTTTTATTGGTATGGACTTTCAGAGAGTGATTACTTCATAGTTTTAATATATTGACATGTTATGTTAGAAGCCTATTAACAGAAATGAATATACAATTATTCATAAATAGCCTATTAGTGCCCATTGCTGAACCAAACCTCTTTTCAAATGAAGTTAATGTATGAGAATTAAACTGTCAAACACCAAGCGGTCACCGGTGACCGCAACCTATTGTTCTTTAATTGTGTCTATAATGATCACCCCGTTTGCAACAGAAATGAATAATAATGAGTACGTAATTCAATTCCAATAGAATACGATAACAGTCACTTTTCTAATCAAAGATTTAATGCAACCAATTCATATTATTACCAACTCAACGCTCTTTTCATACATATCATAAACATAAATAATATTTAGTAGTTATTACCGTATCTATTTGACAGCACTCTCAGAAACCAGATCACTCTCGATACTAGCAAGTAAAGCTACTTCACATTGGTAAAATTATTTGTTACATTCTCAACTTTAATACTAGAAAATAAGGATGAAAATAGAATAAAAGAAATTGGGCAGAATGGTGTGGCTTGACTTGCTATTTAGTCGTACGTAAATAGCATTCACAAATAAATATGAGTGACATGGGTAGCGGTAAAATATAAAATGTGAGCTAGATAATTAGAGCAAGGTCTAATTTACAGTGACAGGAGTATTTTAGAATTTTAAGTGCTTTGCTAGTAACTGATTAAAACTGAAATGTTTGAAGAGGTTGGAAAAGAATGCTACTATGAAACGCTAGAATTATTTTTAAAGGTGTACCTAAGCAAAAAATAGAGTTTTAGATAAATATCGGGATGTATTTTGACGTGAGTTAAATTTAGTTTTTGTTAAGTAGTAGAAGATCTCTTGCGGAGAGCGCTTAAGCTGCTGATACCTAAGCTCGTGAAGCAAAAATGAAGACTATAGATTAATATAGCAATTAAATTAAATGAATTTTATTGCTTTTCCTTATAACACTTATATTCTTCAGTACCTATTTACTTGACAAAACTTCCTCATGACACACTCAAAAGTAAGGCACTGAGTAAAATTACTGGAAAAAGCTAATATAATACGTACTTTATAGTTACAAACACAGACAAACAAACATAACATAACATCACGCCTTTTTATCCCCGAAAGGGTAGGCAGAGGTGCACATTTCGGCACTTAATGCCACTGTACAATGTAACACCCACTTTTCACTATTTATGTTATGAGTCCCATGTAATAGGGGGTGAGCCTATTGCCATTGCCAGCACAGACAAACAAACTCCTAGATTATTCATTAAGTATGAGTATTGTCCAGAAACTTGCGAACATTATGTGTTTCTGACGTAAGTGATGACGTCAGAAGTGTAACGCGGAGGGGCGTAAACAAAATAATATGATTATATTTGGGAGCGTCCCATAACGGCGGGACTGGCGGCATATTAATCACGCAGTCAAAGTTTTATTAGATTGCTTAGTTTGACCATATTAATACTTTCATGGTTGATGGATGAGAGCTTTGTCAGTGGTAGGAGACAGTTGTGATGAGTCTGCTTTTACAGTCAGAGTCGAAGAATCGGTGTCGGTAGTAGAAAGGATGATTCCTTTACCACTGACGCGCTTTGACGCTGATTAAAAATCTAAAGCCACAAATGGCTGCTCAAGAACTAGCCCTGGTCTAATCTATGTAAATCTCAATATTTGGATGATAACAGGGTGTGATAATTAAAAATTGATTTAGTCCGTAAGTTAGGTAATGAAAAATATTAGACACGTATTTTTTATTTTGTCGTATAATAAAACAGTACTTAGATAAAACGAATCAAAGTTTAGGAGTGGGAGCTAAACGTCATTTCTACTAATAAAATGTACATAGAAGTGACGTAACGCGACATTTCAAATCAATATATCGTCGAAAGTATAGTATTCGTTTCTGTAAGACAATAAAAAATACGTGTCTAATGCTTTGAAATAATCTAAGTACCAGATGGACATTAAAATAAAAATTAGGCATCTACCCTATTATGGTGAATTAATCTTAATCGGTTCCGTAGCTTTAGAGTGGTTACTCTGGTGGTCACGGGTTCGTGACATTATGTGTTATAACTTAGTTATGAGTAAGAAACACAATACCACAAAACCAATTAGAACTTTAATTAAATAATAAATAATGAGATTGTACTTACTGTGGACATAATACATAGAACGAAGCAGCCTGTGCGCAGGGAAATGCAGCCGCAACATTTCCTTAGCAGCGGCAGAGGCATGTCGGAGCTGGAAACAGAGTACTCACATAAGCATTCAATCTAGGTACATACATATATATAAATATATATTTTTTTAAAACGTTGCCCCACACTAGGATTTTCTCCTGTGTCGTGGGTGCGTTTACAAAGATACAAGTTCACATACACATTACACCCAGACCCGGAACAACAATTTGTGGATCACACAAAGTGTTGTTTATTGTTTTTTAATAGAAGTGATTCTTATGGAAGGTATATACATATGTATAATACATGCATATTGCACCCGTGCGCAGCAGGGGCGGGTCGCTAGTTACTAATATTACACAACTATACACTATACTCATTCATACTAGATTAGGTATTTTGAATATTTAAATAAATATTTGTGTGCTATGACAATGCATTTCATTTAACAATAATTAATATCTCTGTTTCCTCATTCCTCACACTTTAGGGACTTAGGCCAATTAGTTAATTCATGTTTTCTATATTAAGTTATATGTATTTAATCCATATATTGAAATTACCGGCCGGCAAACGCGCAGTCGATTCACCTGATGGTAGGTAATCGGCGCCGCCCATCATCAGAGGAGTTACTGGTGCGTTGCCGGTCTCTAAGGGGTTAGGGATTTGAAGATTGGGGATGTGGCGATTGGGATGATTGGGGAGGATAGAGTAAAGCTTCCAGTTATACACATAACTTAAATGTCCAATGTAGTGCGAGCACCTACCCACATCGTGGACAGACGCCCTGATAAATGTCACAGGGAGCCGTTGGATAGAGGTCGCTTCCGACCAGCAGATTTAGAAGTCACTAGGGAGGCCTATGTTACTAACTGTTAACTTATCAGAATGTGCCATTTGTGGAATAAAATGTAAAATATTTTTATGTTACATCGTACAATAGGTAACAGGTCAACTTACTCTTTTCTGTCAAATCTCTTTAGTAGATTTTAAAATCTATCGTATGTACTTCCAGAACATGGTATGATCATATATATTTCTTGATTACACAAGTTTAAGTATGACGTCAACGTCGCCAAATTCTCTGCATGGCGTCTAATAAACAGTATATAGAGTATATAGTGCTATAGAGTGATATATTATTGTATAGAGATAATTTGTCATCTATGTCAAAAATGAGGACATCGAAAAAAGGTGAATATAATGTCACTTTTGACCACGGTTGGTGTGGTGGCTGGGCAACCGGCTGCCGTGCAACGTGTCGCCGGTTCGATTCCCGCACGGAACAACACTTTGTGTGATCCACAAATTGTTGTTTCGGGTCTGGGTGTCATTGTGTATGTGAACTTGTATGTTTGTAAACGCACCCACGACACGCTAAATTAAACTCTCGCTAAACCGTCTCAAAGTCATAATAGGTAGATAAAATAGCATTTTTAATGTTTGTCCTGTTTCATTGAATATTATTAAATATTTCACAAATTCACAAGCCTTCGGTGGTTTAATGTTATAGTTATAGGTTGTGTAATTGGGCCTCCGCCCCCGGTAACCTCACTCACACGACGAAACACAACGCAAGCGTTGTTTCACGTCGGTCTTCTGTACCGAAGCATGGCTCTCCCACACTTAAACTAAATCAATCTTTTTAACCGACTCATTTGAAATTTTTTTTAGAGCTTTAGTTGGGATTACAGAGAAGGACAATATATAGGTATTTCCACTGCCACAAGCCGCGGGCGAAAGACAGAACAAGTAATATTTAATATTATATATAAAAACAAAGATACTTATGTGCCTAAGTAAAAAAAGAAAATTTATTGAAATTTTATTGAAATTTATTGATTTTTTTTAAGGGGGGAAAATCATCGAATGACTGCTCCCACCTGGGTGAGGCGGGAGGGAGTTTCAGACTCTTACTGACTAAAAACCATCCCGTTCCTTCTCCTGCACGTCGAGCCGGAACCCCGGTTACCCGTTAGGTTCTTTAGGTAATATGATAAGTGCTAATGAGGAATAAAATTAACTAGTATAGTATGTATCAAACCTATACATTTCCTTATAAGGCATCTAAAAATTATGAAACATTTTTCCTTTAATGAATGAGTACTGGTTCGATAATTGACATCAGTTATGTCGTCGCATCGTGACTTTTTATGCAACATAGTTCATAAAATAATACTTTTTACATGTATTTTACTAGAACCATCACTGACAAATGTAGGTACAGTCAGCAAAGTCATTCATTATGCAAAACAAATATTTATTCAGTACAGAGTCAAACAGCTAATGTTATTCTAAGTAATGTATGCCTGCAGATATGGAGCCGCGGAGGACTTAAAGGGTTGCCGGGCCTCCGGCTCGAAGGGCAGGTGTAGGAACGGGGTGGTTTTTAGTAAGTAAGAGTCTGACACTCCCTCTCGCCTCATCCAGGCGGGAGAAGCCATAAAATTAATAAATTAGTCCCCTTTATTTGGTAAACATTGGCCGGTCCAGTAGCCTAATAAATGTTACTGTCTCCTTACTAAGTCAGTCTTCATTTTCTTACCTGCATAATAAATACTATATTATTATTACTATTTTATACTATGGTCGTGGTGGTCCGGAGGTTTAAGACGCCCGCTTCTCATGCTTATGTGCGTGCATGCGTGCGGTTTCGAAACCTACCAACGGCAATTACCAATGTGAGTTTTTCCAAGTTATATGTACTTTCTAAGATTATCCAGACACCACTGACAAACGGTGAAGGAAAACATCGTGAGAAAACGTGGGCTTATAATTTCTAATTATAAGTTTGAAATCGCCAACCCGAATTGAGCAAGCGTGGTAATTAAAGCTCTAACCTTCTCCGTGTGAGAAGAGGCTTTGTTCAGCAGTGGGCATAAGTGAAACAAGTGAATTTATTTCTGCAAATAAGCTACAAGGCAGCACTTTTACACGTCAATTTTATCAAGCGAACGATGAGGTCGACATTTCCTAACTGACTACTCTGAGAAGAAATGCCGAATCAAACTCATATATATTGGTTGATGATGATGATAATAATAAATACCTAGGCTGACTATACATGCACACAATACATTAACATTTTGGAACATAAAGCCAAGATCAGTAACTTATGATTACTCCTATCTATTCAAATCCGATATGTAATTTGGCATATACATTTTTAGCTAAATGACATGAATGTAGAAATTGTCGATGTTTAAGAAAATAGTGAATACTGAGGCAAAGAGCAAGGCTAGAGACTAATTTATTGGAACATTTCGTACAGGAGCAGTCAAATCTATTTACGTTCGCGTCGGGCGCGGGCAGATTAACACGAACCACCAACTACAATGACTAACGAAATTCATATTACAGACAATTCAGTGTCAAATATTTTCCCTCATTTGCTATAGAAACTTCGCCTTTATATTTGGAAGAACAAAGTATATTATTGCGTGAAGGTTTACGATGGGAACTTTTTATTGAAGAGATCTTTTCTGTTAATGGCACTATCTGAGGTCATTTCGTGGTAGAAACGGAAGCGTGTCTATCATTTTCTGGCTTTATTTATATGTACTTCAAATATGGCTGAAAGGTATAGTATTATAGTAGGTATAGTAAGGTAGGTGTAGAAGGTATAGTAAGGTAGTTGTTAAGATTTTCGCCAAAATTATTCGTTATTTAGATGGCTGTATAAGTTATCTGTGTAGATAAACAAAGTATGGTGAATGACAATGTTGCATGTTTTTAATTGCACTTAAATAGTAAAATAATGTTGCTGCAGCTGGCAATTTCATTCACAATAATTGTTTCGAGACTACATTTTATGGTTTAAAATCTAAATATCCCTTTTGCGTCCTTAGTTTCATTTTCAGGATAATAACAGGTTCACTGGAAAAATAGCAGACCTGACATCAGACTTTCTGCTTAATTTAAATGCATCCAATTTTCCTGTTTATAATGTCGTTGGTAATTGGTTAATTATGTAAATATCCTATAGGTACCTGCCTGCACAGTTTATTTTATTTATTTATTTATCATTTCATGTACACCATAGAACAGACAATATTACAGAGAACAACACATTAACAGCATGAGGTACATAGGTTTATTTGAGTTTCAACTAAAGTAGCTGTAGAATAACATAATATCACACTTTTTTTCCCTGAAGGGGTAGGCAGAGGTGCACATTTCGGCACTTAATGCCACTGTGCAATGTAACACCCACTTTTCACTGTTTATGTTATGAGTCCCATGTAATAGGGGGTGAGTCTATTGATGGCAATAGGCACGGAGCCTGGAAATGTGCCCGGTATATGGATACCGGGCACATTTCCAGGCTCCGTGCTACTACTGAGATTTTTAAAAACCCAGTAATACTTTGCCCGTCCCGGTAATCGAAATCGAGACCCCTTGCCCGGCAGTCGCACTTGCGACCACTCGGCCAACGACGCTGTCAGTCGAGGTAGCTGTAGAATAAACATTAATAATAGCATTTCAAATAAAATGAGACAGAAAATACTCGAAACAAATGTACCCATATAAAAATAAACGTTAAACAGCCATTATTCGGCACGAATGGGCCGGCTTCATAGGAAACCGACGCCGGCGTGAAACAACGCTCGCTTTGTGTTCCATCGTATGAATGAGGTTACCGGATACCCAATAGTTCCCTACATCCCCCATCCCAAATCCCTAAATGCCCAAAACCCCAATTCACAAAAGATTACGTGGATTAAAAGGTCCTCTAGTGTTACAAGTGTTCATAGGCGCGCAGATTGATTACTATCAGGTGATCCGTCTGCTCGTTTGCCGTACTACTATAGGTACTATAAAAAGCCTACTTTTTCTAAAAATATACGAACACTCCATATAGGTAATTTAATATAACAATGGTTAAATGACAAGATCATTTGAGAACCATTGTAAGAACATGTAGGTATTTATCAAGTTATGCATCATTATCTTCTACTGTAGTCTCTGGTAGATAAATGACAAGCTTAACATTATAATTTATAATTAACTAGTTTCGACTGTGACCTTACTTGAATACTGAATGTCGTGGTGGCCCGGACGT